TAACAGAATACCTATTAAAAGGAGGTGACGAGAAATTAAACATGTATCTATGAAAAGATATATTACAAATATTAAATAATAACAGTTTTTACTTTGAAGAGTGGAAAATGACAGATACTGATCGAAAATTGATAAATAATACACATATCGAGTACCCGATATGTGCATGGTATGTCTCTAATATCGGATATATATCGGGTATCCGATATGTGTAAAAAATATTTTATATATATATTGGATACCTGATAAGTGTAAAAAATATTTTCTATATATATCAGGTACCCGATATATATCCGATATTAAGGACGTACCATGCACATATCGGGTACTTGATATGTATATTATTTATCAATTTTCAATCAGTGAGATAAAGAATATGAAGATATTATTTACAAGTTATATTATATTATTTTTGTTTATAATTAATTTAATTTATTAAATTTACAAAGCAAGATCTATCTGGAAGATTTGAGATTATAGATATTAGTGATGATAATTATTATAATAATTATAATAATAATGATAATTGTAATAATAATTATGATAATAATAATAATCATAATAACAATGATAATGATGATAATAATCATAATAACAATGATAATGATGATAATAATCATAATAATAATGATAATGATGATAATAATTGTAATAACAATGATAATAATAATAATAATGATAATGATAATGATAATAACAATAATAATAATAATAATAATGACATATTATCATTATTATATAATTATAATGATGATGATGATGATAATAATAGTAATAGTAATAGTAAAAATAAAATTAGTGCTATTATGGTTGTCACTATTTCTACTGTTATTACTACTACCACTATTGCCACTACTACTATTTACTTATATAAAACAATAATATTGATTTTTATTAAAGATAAATGGTAGTAATCTGATTTGGTAAGTAGATTAATAGTAATAATGTTTTTATATCTATTGGGTATAATATTAATAAATAATATTTTATAGTTAAAAAAGTTACTACACAAAAGAATTAATCTAATAATTGATATTATGTACAAACTGCTGAAAGTGTCAAAAACTAAAATCAAATCTTCATAATATACACTAACAAAAGTAGAAATTTCAAAAAAACACTTCAATTTGAATATTAAATATAACAGCACTTAGAAAATTAAAGTGAAAAATAGAATCATTTCAATTTATAGTACAGATACTACTGATTAAGATGATGATAATAATAATAGTGATGATAATAATAATCATGAAATAGGAACAAGTAGTAAAAAAAGAAAATGAAAAGATAATAATAATGATTATGAAGTAGAAACTAGTGGTAAAAAAAAAAAACAAAAAGGAAATGAAAAAGAAAAAAAAATAAAAAAAAAATAAAAAAAATAATTAAATATATTTAAATATAAACATTTTATATAGCATATATAATATATTTCATTTTATATTTTTCATAATAAATGTATTTCATTTTATTATTTTTTTTTATAATAAATTAAAATTATGATTATTTGTAAATAAAAAAAGTGAAAATATATATATATAAATAAAAGATACTAATAGATATTCAATAGAGAGAAAAAAACTATTCGATATACAGAGATATACTATACTCAATATATAAAAATATACTATGGCCATTTTTATAAAAGATATGTGCCTAATAAAAAAAATAAATAAAATCAGATGTCTAATATATAAATTATTTTCTTGACTTTCTTCAAAGTCTTTAAAGTATATATCACTAGTATTATAATTATTAAATATTTCATTAAACATATTGTAGAATACTAATTTAATTTATTTTTATTATATTATTTCTTAATGTATTTATTATTTATTTGTAATTTATGTAAATCGAAGATTATGTAACAAATAGCTTATCAGGTTAACTACTAGGTGAATTACCTAGGTAAATTACCTGTTGTACATAACAGGTGAATCATCAGATTGATTATCTTTTGCTAAAATTGATAAATCATTAATTTGGTAGATTGTTATGTGTAGCAAATTAAAAGAATATAAATATGAGTCTTCCCTGATCTGAAAAGAGGGAGTTCAGAAGTTTTATGGGTTTTCAATAGTTTAAGAGACCAGAACAGAGTTGTTTCTTTAGTTAATACATAATTTATTCCTTTAATATTTACCTTTACTTTTATAATTTTTATTTTTATATTATATTTTATTTTTATATTTATTATTATATTTATTAATAAAATTATATTGTATTAAATATCCCTATTAAATCTTTAATTTATTAATTTATCACATAATTCTTAATAAACTAATCTTGTATAAATACTCTTTAGTATATACATCTTATTAAGTGATGTTACTATGAGTTTCCTCCACTTTTATAATCTCTTATTATTTTATTTTATTTTTATTTCTTATTTGTATTTATTTTATTAGTATAGTTATCTTAGTATATTTAGTTATTAGTATTTATTTATTTAGTAGTGTAATATGAATTGGGTAAATCAATAATGTAGATCATAGTGATCCAGTTATTGACCTATTTGCTGACCAATTTAATAGTCAATTGATTGATCAACTTAGTGGCCAACTAATTGGTACAATTACTGATCAAGATTTTGGCCAACTTACTAATTAACTTACTGGTCAAATCAAATATTATAAAAAGGATGAGTTTTCTCTTTACCCCAAGGGAGATTTAGATAATTTTCAAATAAGATTTGAATAATTCTAAATAGTGAAATTTAGAAAGTAATCTCAACTGTAATTAATTCTATTGAATTAATAATTTTTATAATCCTAAAGTAATTGGATTATTGATTTTCTTCATAATAAATTTATATCTTTTATATATTAAAAATTCTGTTATCCTTTTAATTTATATTTTTCGAATATAAATTTTGATCCATAAATTTCTGTTACTATTTATAAAACATTAATAAATATCTTTAATTCCTTGTTTTAATTTCTTAAATTGATCTTTAAAATTTAATTGTTAATCAATATTTAAATCCCATAATCCTAAATTCTTAAGTTCTTTAATTAGTTATAGTATTTAGTTTATAATATTTCTTTTCTTCTTCTATAATTTTCTTTAATTCGTAAACTAAAGTAACTGTTTATGAGTTACTAGTTGTAAATTATCTTTTGAAAAATAAAATTAGTTCGAAAGATCAACTAGTAACAGCGGACAAGCTGATTTGATGTACTAAAACCCCACACAATAAAGAATTCACCTTGTAATATTCATTCGAATTCACTATTAAATAATTGAATTAAGTTGATCTTAGTGATCCTCAAGAAATTCTGAGAATTAATTAAGTAGTTTAAGTTAGTTTAGTTAAAGAATATTAGTTATCCTTTAGATCCTTGTTCACATATTGATGTGACAATATGTTCAAACTCATCATTACTACTTATTTTGTTATTAAATTCTTCTAACCAGTTTACAGAAAATAGAGAAGACAAGGGGGAGGAAATTTCATAGCTTTGTTATAACATTACTGATTTTTTATTTAACAATAAATAGTCAAAATAGAATGTAGAGATGCAAGTTACTGATGCTCCTTTTTGTCAATAAGAAAATGCTTTATGTCTTCATGTTTCACATGCCATAGTGTTACAGATCATGGTGAAACAACATTTTTACTTTAAAATATAATTGAAGTTTGATTATTTTTTGTTTCATAAAAATATGCTTCTAATAAAAGTTGCTCTAACAATGATAAAAATTAATAAACTATAGCTCCAAAATAGTACTAGATCATGTGTAAAATTTTAGTATATTTTATTATGTACGATTTTTTTTATTTAATTAAAAAAATAATTTTACAAAATGTAAAATTTGGATGTCGATCCTCTAATTAAAATCAACTCTCTGCATCTACAATCCATAACGGTGTAATGCATATATTTGTAATATTTCGTGAGCGATATATGTATACGATGAGAATGGGAGTGATATATAACGATATGCATATTGATTGTAGTGGGATAAATAACATTGTTAATAAAGTAAAGCGTCTCAACTTAAGGCATTGATATTTATATAAAATCCTGCCTTCTCATGGAGTATCCAATGTGGTTCAACCATGATACACCCATAGTGGTTGATATTGATATATTTACAAACGAAAATCCCTTTATCATCATTGATATATTTACGAAATGAATTTCAACGAAGTTTCAAGAAAAAATAATTAAAAGATTTTATATGTTGCATTTTCGGATAAAAAAAGCTCTTCATCTATCGTAATTTTCCCATCATCACTCTGCTGATAAAACACGCGACTGTATTTATAACCAAACTATGATAAATACTCGAATACCCAATTTATTTTAATTACGTGAGCGTGATAAATCGTCAATTATATGCAAAAAATTTGTTAGAGACCTAAAAAAATAGGTAATCGCATTTATATTAAACTATATCTTGCTTATCAAGATGAAATAAGTTAAAATAAGCTTATTTAATTGATTCTCATTATTCTTTATTGTTAATCATAAATCAATCCTCAAACAAAGCTGTCCGAAAAAAAGCTAGGCATTCACATTAAATATTCATTTTAGGTGTAACGAACAACAGTATTATTGTTTGAAATACTATATTTAGATTTAACAAAGGTAAACGTGAAATATTTAAAAAATCTTTTAACACCGCGGGTGTATGTAAGTGGATGTGTATTTTTTTTTTTTAGAAAAAAAACAAAAAACAAAAAACAAAAAACAAAAAAAAACAAAAAAAATATACCCTTTCTCATTTACAACACTTACCTTATCCTTTTCACGGATTTCGCGACGGGAAGCATTTTTTGAAAAAATAATATATTTACCTCCTTAATTTTACTTTTATTGTTATCGAGAAATTAATACTGCACCTCCGCATTTTTTATTTTTTTTATAAATATAAGGGAAAGTATAAACCACCTCTGCTTAAAATCTATATATATTTTTTTAAATATATCTTTTTAAATGTTTACAAATATTTATAGATCTTTTTAACTAGTATTTAAGTTTTTTTTTGTTTATATGATATCAACTGGAATAAGTTTCTACTGGAATGATCGTGTCGCAGCTTGGTCACAGAGATTATGGTTGTCCACAGAGATTGACTCTGTCGTTTCACCTTTGACCTTATCAAGTACGTCTCATTGGATAAAAAGAAAAAAAAAAAGAGTAAATACGTGGTACCAAGACCATCATGGTACAATCAAGTAACGACGCATCGACCTCATCAACCGTCAGAAAACTGCTCATATCTTTACCATTAACATAGTTTCCATCTGCCATATGCAAGGACAACACTCAACTGGAAATCAATGATGAAGAACAAATGAATGACAAATTGGAAGTGGGAAAGAAACGCAAAGTGGGTGCAATACTTAGTCACACCCGGAAAAAAAGAAAAATAGAGGGATTAATGAGAAGCATAAAAGTGCGAGTTTACCCGAATATGAGACAAAAGAAATTAATGAAGGGATGTTCCTAGGTAAGAAACGAATATATGTATTTATTTTTTATTGTTTTCGCTCGTTTTTATTTATTTTTTTATTGTTTTTTTCGTTTTTTTTTTTATTTTTATTGTTTTGCTCGTTTTATTATTTTTTATTATTGTTTTGCTCGTTTTTTTTTTTATTTTCTTTTCACTTGTTTTTAAATTTTTTTTTATCTCCTCTTAGCTTTTTATTTTTTTATTTTTTTCCTTTTTTTTTAAATTTTCAGGCTTGTTATAACATGAGTTCCGAAAAGGCAACAATGCCGATCTTGTTTATTTTCGCATACTCCCTGTCAACGAATCAACAATGGTACTTGGTCTTTCATGGAAAAGTTCCGTACAATATACTTGATGAAACGATGAAGGAGGCAATCCAAGCAAGAGAACTTGTTCAATAAGGAAGTACAAGCTACAAGGAGGAAATCACATCATAAATTTTCATTTCGTCGTCGTAAGAAGTGTTGGATAATCGCAATTCGTCAACAAAATTGCAGGGATTATCTCAAGTTTTACCCCCCAGTCTTTACATAATCGCGAAATCACTTCTGATAATTCTTTATACTCCCGACACAAAAACTCAATTACACATCCTCACCTCCACCACGAACACCGCAAAAAAAAAAAAAACAATTGCCCAATTTAGAAGGACGAGTTAATAATGATTCAAAACTTAGATGGCATCCATGTCAACAACATGGACATTTATTTGGGTCTATGAAAAGCAGGTGACCCCTCGTGAGAACCAAGCGGGGGGTATCACTGTTTGTTCACTAGATCCAGGTGTCCGTACATTCTTGACTTAGTATTCCCCCATGCATAGTTCTGGCTATATTGGTAATCAAGATGCACAAAGAATTATTCGTCTCTACCTTCATCTTGATCTCATTTCCCGTACTATTAAAGCCCGCGCAAATAAACATAATTATATGCGTCGTGCTCAAGCCCGAATTCGACAACAAATCTGCAATCTTATAGATGAGTGCCATAAGAAAAAAGCACTCTGGCTTGTCCGCACATTGTCATTATCCCACCATTTAATGGTGGTCAGACGGCCCACAGACAATATCGCAAGATTAATATACGGAAAATGATGTCATGGGTCATAGAAGATCCCGGAGAGGAGGCAGAAGAGTTTGGAAAAGAAGTTAGGATAGTTGAGGAGGCATATACCAGTAAAACATGTAGTTGCTGTGGATGGATGCATCAAAATTTGGGGGAAGAAAAGTTTTTAAGTGTGGGAGATGTGGTTTATGTATAGATAGAGACATAAATAGTGTTCATGGGATTTTCCTCCAGGCTTTGCTACCATTTTATAGGGTACAAGTTGACCATCTGATGCACTAAATTCTTAACTAAGGTTCATTAATAGCATTTTTGATGTTTAATTAGCAAGTAAAAAAGATTTATTTATGTAGCAACAATTGATATTAATTTAAATGATTGGTCGATATTCAAAGAAATTATTAAAATTCGTATAAAATTTATAAATTCCGGGCAAATTTGCCCGCAAAACTGTTTAAGGGATAAATGGAAAGAGATCTACATATAACCATAACCTTGTTCCGGATAAGAATATCGCTATCTTATAAAAGCCCCTTTCTCCATTAATATCATGATTCTGATTTAAAATATATTTTTATTTTCAGATGACAATATCAATAAAATAAAGATATGCCCTTTTTTTTAACGAATAAAGAATAAATTTATATATATAATTGGAAAAGTTGCCCATTACCGAATTAAATATATAAATAAATGAATAATGCAAAAATGATATACAAAAAGAGAGAATAAATAACAAATAATAAATAATAAATGATGATAATAAACATAATAAATATATTAAATATAAAAAAATACTAAATAAAATATAATAAATAATAATATTACTATATAATAATAGGTAACAATAAATAACACTAAAAAATTAACGCTTCTGACAAATATGAAAAACTTCATAATCATCAATAATGAAAGTTTCATCCGTTTTTCTAATAGGTTTTTCATAATTAACTTGTTTACATCCTGTTCCTTTTCTATTCTTAAAATTATTAATCATCTTTAAATCATGATTCCCAAAATTTGGTCCCCATCGAGGATTATAATATAATGCATATCCAGGATTTGATACTCTACTTAGAATATTCTCATTATTATTATTACCATTAGTTTTCTTTAATGAAAATATAAAACTATCTTTTGTTCTTGACCAATTATCTTGTTTCGAACGAGGAATTTTATTATTATCCTCAGTATTATTGGGGTTGTTCCATTTTATTGGATTATATCCTCCAATAATTTCATTGGTACCTAAAACTTTTATAATAACTACAGTACGAGAATAATTATCACATAATTCATGAAAAGTGCTACTTTTAAATCCATGTTCACTTCCTCGAAGTAATAATTTAAATTCATATGGATTATTGTTTACATTATAAGTAGAAAATCGACGATCAATCCAAGTAGCAATTTGTGCCGCTCGTTCATAATCAATAATTGTTGAAAAGGAAGGTAATGAAGGTAAAATTAATTTAGTTAAATCTGTTTCCGTTGCAGTTGTTGTTGTTGAAGTCATTGTTGTTGTCATTGTTGTAGTGATTGGTAATGAAGCATATGATTTCGTTGGTGAAGAAGGAGGAGAAATAACTTTATCATTTAATAATTCTGGACATCGTTCAATTAATTCTGTTCTAACTGCAGGATCAAGAATTCGTTTAAATGGTTTTACTTTATCATAAATATCTTCATCAGTAAGTTTTGAATAGCGAATTAATGGTAAACAATGCCTTAAAGTAGTTTTTAATCTATAAAAATCTACTTCTGTCCATTGTTCGGGATTAGGTGTAAGGGTGGTGGAATTTTGAACCATTCCCCATTTAATAATATAATCCCAAATTTTAGATTCTTCGATTTGTACATCATCTCTTCCCAACAATGAAACAAGTACTGGTTCTTGTAAAGAAGTGAAATCCATTGAATTAAATATTAAATCCGGATATTTGGTAACGATTCCTTCACAAAATTCTTGAATTCCCAACATATTCTCTGATTCATAACTTGCATTATGAATTAGTGCAAAATTCAAACATAACCAATCTGCACGAGAATCTAATAAATATGATTCAATATGTTTCGCTAATTCTCCGAGACTAAATTCATTGGCAGCTACAATTAATTCGAAAATTTCAGAGGATTCTAAAGTTTCCAGTGCTATTACACCCCCATATATGTATCTAAAAAAATTTAAAAGAAATTATATTATTTATTAATTAATTAAAGATAATTATATTATTTAATTTAATTAATTAAAGATAATTATATTATTTAATTTAATTAATTAAAGATAATTATATTATTTAATTTAATTAATTAAGATAATTATATTATTTAATTAATTAATTAAAGATAATTATATTATTTAATTAATTAATTAAAGATAATTATATTATTAATTATTTTAAATTACTTTAAACACAACATAATAAAGAAATACTCACTTTACAATAATCTCAAATATTTCAGGTTTAATATGTTTCTTTCGAATTTCCTTTACATTCTGAACAAGAAAATTATTATTATTACTATTATTATTACTATTATTATTATTATGAGGGGGATGGTTATTGATAATATTTAAATCATTGAAATCTAATAATTCTTTATAAAAATATTCCGATCTAAATCGTAAAATTACTGAATGTAATTTAAATGATTTATTGCTTTTTAAATCATCGCCGCCCACATGTATAATCACATCACATCCTTCACCAAATTCTAAAAGTTTGGTAAAATCTTGAGATAATTTGTCATAAAATTTTGTCGGCATTTTTTTTTTTTCGTTAATTGTTTATTTTTATGTTATTTTATTTTTTTTTTATAATTTATTTAATTTATCAAAAAAGAAAAAAAAAAAGAAAATAAGCCAGCCTTGGGAAAATTTGACCAACATTATATATTCTATATATTTATACTCCGTGTTTTGTACTTTTTATGGTGGCTTATTACCCATTATTATTATTATTTTTTTATATATATATAAAAGTAATATAACTTTTATCAGTAATGCTTTACAAAATAAAATAAATTAAAGGTTATACAGTCTTATCATCTTGTTTAATGTAATGTTCACTTTCACGTGTTGTGAACACTGAACACTGAGAATGCACATCGAACTAGTAAGAAACTTGGCAAAAATACATATATCAAAAGTATTTTCCTAAAAAGTTAGACAACCGCTATAAGAATTTGAAATTTACACACGTACACATATCTTTATAGAATTCTTTTTATAGTATTTCTTTCATTATCAGTACAGTATAGAATTTCAGAATTCCCTATAGCCATTGGTTTTCCATCGTTTTTCAAGTGTGTAATTTATACTTAACAAAATAATCTAAAAAATTTAAAAAATCTTGTGATAATAAAGAAACGTGTTAGTTTATAAACAATACACACTTTTTAAATTAAAAATTTCTACAAAAATGAATTGAGAAAATTTTTTTAAAAGAATTAATCAAATCTATTTCATTTTAAAATTGTGAATTAGAAGGCATTAAAATTTCATTGAGTAGGCATTTGTGATGTCAGAAAATGACAATATGATTACAATTATGTTATTCGAATGACAAAATAATGACAATATACTCTTTTAATTATATATATATATAATCGTTATTTTATAGTGTCTTTCATTGTTTTTTTTCATTATCACTTAATATCATTATTATTATTATTGTTTAAATAACAAATCGAAAAAAAAAGAAAAAAAAAAAGAAAATGATTCATCCCAAAGATCGATTAACGAGACATTTCAAAATTGGACCTTTCACCGATCTCTCACCAACTGGTGTGACGATTCTTGCCTTATCTGCTATTGGTGGTGGTTGGTATGCGTGGAATAGATTTATTATGGGAAGAGATAATCGTGATTTAAACAAATCTCCGGGTGCCGCTGGTACGCGAAGAAAAGATTAAATTTAATTATCGCACACGGATGTAAATTTGCGTATATATAATTCAATGCGTGTAAATTTAGTGTATAATAATAATAATTATAATTATAATAATGAGATAATATATATATCTATATCTATATCTGTAACTTGTATTTATCTTGTTATGTTCTTATGTTATCTTTTTAAATCATCTGGAAATCGTGGCGTGGGAAGAGATGATAATATTTTCAAATATAAAAACCTCAACAAATACACAATAAAAATTACATGCAGCCAACATTAATTTGTATACATTATTTGTACACATAATTTGCAAACTTTATTAACACTCGAATATTTTTTAAAATTTCTAAAATATGTTATTAAAAATTTATTTCTAAAAATGGTACAGCAATAAAACCCCAAAACAAAAGAAAAAAAATGTATAGAACAAACATTACATCAAAATTCTTTAAATAATAAAACAAATAAAAGTACATGATCAGGCAAAGTTTAATTTAAGCTGTATATTTTATATAGATTGTATAAATAATTTGTATGATTTTTTTTTTTATTCAAAATTCTATTAAAAAAAAAAAAAAATTTTGTAAATTAGAATTTAAAAAAAGGAAATTAGTTTTAATAATAATAATATTTTTACTTACATAAACGAGACTCGCTTGATATCTTTCTTCCCAATATTCAGCTAATTCTAAGTTAACCAAAGTACCAATACCTTTTCTATAACATTCTGCAAGATCGTGTGCCCCTGATTCACATCCTTTTTCAGCGGCTTTACGATACAATTCAAAAGCTTTCCTAGGATCTTTTTTGGTCCCTCTACCATATTGATAACAATAACCCAGTCTATTCATGGCATAATTATTTCCTCCATCAATTGACTTTTTATAAAATGTAACACCTTTAAGTTCATCTTTATGAACACCATATCCATTCAAATAACAATATCCTAAAGCGCATAAACCATTTGTACAACCTCCATTCGCTGATTTTTGAAACCAAAGAAATGCCAATTCATAATCTTGTTTCGCTCCACTTCCTTCTAAATAACTTGCTCCTACAAAATATTGTGCCAAGTGATCATTCTTCTTGGCAGCATTTAAAAAGAAAGTATATGCTTTTCTTTTATCTGCTTCCACTCCAATTTCATGACCAAAGAAATAACCCAGGAGACTTTGAAATTGTAATGTATCTCTATTCTTGCTTAACCATTCATATATTTGAACAGGTTCAAAATGAGATTTATGAATGTGATTAACGATGGACTTTTCTACTTCACTATCTTCTTGACCATTTTGATTTCCTTCATAAAATATAGCACATAATTGTTCAGCAAGTTTCTTGAATGCTCTATTTTGATTTGATAATGATAGGTTCGAAGATGATGATGGACTAGGACTTGAAGTTCTACTGGTTGGAGTGGATGGAGCATCAAAAGAAGTTGAAGGGGTTGAACTTCGGGTAGTATTCGAATTATTACCTAAATTCATAATGAGTTTAACTATATTTAATCTAATTTAAAATAATCTAATTTGATGATTATACCAATTTTTATTTTATTTTATTTTTTTTTAAAAAAAAAAAAGTTCAGGGGGGCTTTTTTGAATAAGTTGGAGTTGATATTAATGAATGTATAAGGATATTGTTTTTTCCTGAACAAAAAATCGTAAAAAAAAAAAATGATAATTTAAAAAAAATAAAGAAAAAAAAAATAAAAAAAAATTGTAAAATAAATAAATAAATAGTTGAGAATTTGAGAGAATTATATGCAATAATCTAGAAACTGGAATTTTATTCGTGCTTTTAATAAAACAACATGGATCTTCAATACATTATATATATATACTATTGGTAGTATTTTTATTTGTTTATGTATGTTATTAATAATGGGAAAATAAGAATATAAGAAAAGTTTGTGCGTTTCGCAAGTTAAATGAGAAAAAAAAAAAAAAAAATAGGATATATAAATATTGTCCAATTATAAATTTTTAATATTGTTTTAAATTTTTCAATCAAGAAATTTACCTGTATGATGTAAATTTGCCTCAATGTATATAAACCCTAAATAATTTAGACTAATGGGATTTTTTAAAGTTTTTTTTTCTTTTTTGTCTTTATTCATTAGTAGTTAAATTCCCTAAAAACATTATTCATTTAAGAGAAGAAGAAATATCAAAATGTATTTGCATTTTAAACATGCATTGTAATATTATTTAATATATTATTCTATTATACTGTATATTGTTTTTTTTTTTTTTGCATTTATAAAAGATTAATTACAAAAATTACAAAAATTACATAATTTCTTTCTCAAAATTTTACAAATGATCATGTTCACGTGAGGTATATGACCGTCTGAAGGCAAAGAATTTTTTTTTTTTTTTTGTGCAAGAAAAATGACTTGGTGCTTGGCAGTAAAGACTTGGGAATTACCCGTGGAAGGAGAAATTAGTGGTCGGAATTTCTCTTAATGATCTTAATAACCAAAGAAGACTTTAAAAAAATCATAACATTTTAAATTTACATTCACACACCAGGTTAATAGTAAAACTTTTTATGACTAAGATTTCCAAAATTGTTTAAATGGAATTAAACGCAGAATAGGTCCGATATCATATAGAAATACAATAGAGCGTTTTCTACGCCGAACAATAAAAATTATCGGGAAGAAATTATTCGTGTCACAAGGAATTTTTTGTGGCACGAAAATTGTAGAACTTATCAATAACAACGTTAAAAGTAGCATTATATAATACATAATAATATAAAGTGTTGCAGTGGTAAAAAAAAGCGTTTCTATTGGCTATTACTGTTGCTCAACGGCACGGGAATTCGCTAGTATTTAATATATTTTTTATTTAATAATTAAAAATTATAAAATTGCAAAGTAAAAAAAGACTATCTCACTTACCTGCCAACATTTCCGCGGCCAATGAACTCGTTTCTGATATTACGAAGTCCTGCGCTTCGTATTATTCATCATGAGTTGATAAAAAAAACTGATATTTTAAGATTTACCAATCAAAATAAAAAATCTTAAAAAAAATTTTGATGGTGCATCAATTTTCAATTTCAATTATTTTAATTTCAATTTAGCAACTATACCAACAAACAAATCAATATACTACAACCATGTTTGTTCTTTTTGAGACGGCAGCTGGATATGCTCTTTTTCAAGTATTAGATGAAGGAAAATTAAATACTCCTGAAAATATATGGTCAGAATTTAATACACCAGAGAAGGCCAAAGCAGCGTAAATATCGTAGAGTCCTATTTTTTAATTTTTTAATTTTTTTAATTTTTTTTTAATTTTTTAATTTTTTTTTTTTTTTGATTTTTCTCATTTCTTTTAATTTTTAATATAATAATGTTGCTATTATTGCTTTTTTATGTAGTGTCAAATTGAAAGCCTTCAAAAAATTCGAAAATATGAACTTTGCTGTTGATTCTGTTATGGATCTAACGGAAGGAAAATTATCAGAAGATTTAACTAATTTTTTGAAGGGAATAGTTAAGAAAACGAGTGAAAAACTGGTTGTGGCTGACCAAAAGCTGGGTAAGCTTTATTTTGTGGCTTAATATAGTTAGCTCATGTTTAAACAATTTTTTTTTAATGTTTAAATTTGTTTCGCAGGTGTCGCAATTAGTAAAAAGCTCGGAATACAAGTTATTTCTGACAAATCGGTTCTCGATCTATATCGAGGGATTCGTCAACAAATCGATGTATTGATTACCGGAAATGTTTCAGATGATATTTCTTCAATGGCATTAGGTCTTTCTCATTCTATATCTCGTCATAAACTTAAATTTTCTCCGGATAAAGTAGATACCATGATTATTCAAGCTATTGGATTATTGGATGATCTGGATAAAGAACTAAATACATACGCTATGAGAGTTAAAGAATGGTATGGTTGGCATTTCCCTGAAATGTCTAAAATAGTGGTTGATAATCTTGCTTATGCTAAAGTAGTAAAACAAATGGGTAAATAAAAATAAATTATCTATTGATTTTTTCTTTTTTTAAATTTTATCATAATTATTAATTCAAATTTTATTTTATTTTAGGTTTCAGAACCAATGCTCATAAGACTGATTTTTCGGAAATTCTTCCGGAAGATTTAGAAAAAGAAGTGAAAGAAGCTTCAGAATTATCCATGGGCACTGAAATTTCCGATGAAGATATTAATAATATTATTATGGGATGTGATCAAGTAATTAATTTGACTTCTTATCGTACTGAACTCTATGAGTATCTAAAAAATCGTATGATGGCCATTGCTCCAAATCTTACGACACTTGTTGGTGAATTGGTTGGAGCTAGATTAATTTCACATGCTGGAAGTTTAATAAACCTTGCAAAACATCCAGCAAGTACCGTTCAGATTTTGGGTGCTGAAAAAGCTCTCTTCAGAGCTTTAAAAACAAAAAGTCCTACTCCGAAGTATGGCTTGATTTATCATGCAAGTTTAGTTGGACAGGCTTCACCCAAAAACAAAGGAAAGGTACGTTTATTTATTTAAATTTTCTTATGAAAATTTTGTTTATATATAATAAAAAAGAGTAATATTCACAATAATTAATTAAATTGAATTAAAATCTAGATAGCGAGATTGCTTGCAACAAAATCTTCTCTTACATCTCGATTTGATGCATTAGCTGAAGAAAAAGATGTTACGGCTGAGTTGGGTCATAAAAACCGTAAAATCTTAGAGTCTAGGGTACGAACTCTAGAACGTACTGGTCCAGGTGCAGGCACAGATAAGAAAAAGGCTCGCAAACAAGCAAAAGTTGACATTAAGTAATCATTTTATTTATAATTACTAGTGATTTAATATTGTTTTTTTATTATGCAAATAATTTAACATTTTATCTTTATAATTAAAGAACGGCACCATCATATAATACAGCTGCTGATGCTGTTATAGCTGGTCCGTCAACTAAAAAAGGGGAACAAAAACCAAGAGAAGATGAATCAGCAATGGAAATAGAAGAGATAGAAGAGATAGAAGAGGTAGAAGAGGTGGAAGAGGTAGAAGAAGAAGCAAATAACAAGAAGGATACAATGATGGAGATTGATAAACCTGAAGAGAAATCTAAAAAGGGGAAATCTAAAGAGAAGAAAGATAAGAAGAAAAAGAAGGATTCTGAAGAACATAAAACAGAAGCTGGACCTTCAAAACCAACTAAAGGGGAGACTGAAATACCCGAAGAAAAATCTAAAAAGGAGAAATCTAAAGATAAGAAAGATAAAAAAGATAAGAAAGAGAAAGATTCTGAAAAACAGAAAATAGAAGCTGGACCATCAAAACCAACCAAAGAGGAGAAGGAGACGAAAGCTGATATACAATCAACGGCTAAAGAAGAAAAAAAAAAGAAAAAAGAGAAAAAAATTGAATCATTAAGTAAAGATAATGAAACAAAAACACTCGGGGAAGCAAAATCAAAGCTCGTAAAAGGAAAGGGAAAGGAAAAGGAAAAGGAAAAGGAGGTACCAAGTAAAGAAAAACCAGAAACAACAGAGAGTAAACAGTCATCAAAAAAACGTAAAGCTGAAGTATTAGAAGAATCAGAAGAACTTAAAATTAAAGATGTTGAAAAATCAGGAAAGAAAAAGAAAAAGTCAATAGAAAAGAAAAAGTCAATAGAAAAGCAAAGTGAAGCTGGGTCATCAAGTAAAGCAAAAAAGGAATCATCAAAGAAACGTAAAGTTGAACTGGAAGAAGAAGAACCAAAGCCAAAAGTAATTATTTTATGGTTAAATCTTTTCTTTTTCTCAATTTAACAAATAATATATATATTTACTTTTTCAACTGTTTGATTTTTTTTTTTAGGAAAAGAAAACGAGCAAAAAGAAAAAGGCCTCTGAGTGATTTTGATTAATAGTATATAATCGATTGTAAGAGAATATTAATTATTTATTTTTGACAAAAATAATCAAAAATTGGTGGACAGTAATATTTGGACGGGTGGGCTTGTTTGAAATATTCTTGTTATGCATGTTTTTACGCCTACGTAAAATATAAATAAATAAAAAAATAATATAAATAGGCAATTTTGAAATTATAGCAAAAATTCTACTATATTTTGCAAATTACAAATTATTCAATGTGACATAAATGACATAATAACGAGAAAAATACAAATTTTGCATGCCATAATTTTCAAGAATGTCTACTGATAATAATAATAATTTCTTTCGACATTTTCATCTCGTGCTGGTTCATTTTCGGATGGCATTCTACCCCAATATTTATTAATACATCGACTGCAAATTTCGAATCGTCGCCTGAAAGGTCTCAAAGTATAAGAACTAAATCGATGTCCATTCGGTGAGGGCTGTGTTATGATAAAATTAATTTAAATAAATTTAAATAGATTTAAAATTATATGAAAATATTTATTCAAATTCTTTTCTTTCTTACCACATATGAAGATTCCGCATTTCTTAACATATCAGTTATATAATCATCATCAGTCAATGTACTTTCTGGACCACCAAGTGCTTGCATTTTCCAGAGAGATTTTCTCTGGGTTTTGGTAATGATTTCATTCTCGTCTTTATTTAAATTAATTGGTGGACATTCGAAACGTTTTGCAAGTCTGCTTGGACCAAAAGTGGGGGTAGGTGGACAATGCTTCACAATGTCTTTCATTGTTCTTTTTTTGAAAAACATGTGTTGGGCTCGTCTTCTTGCTTTTGCTATACTTTCGGAAGGTGGAATAATGGGGGTAGTTTCAAGAGTATATACTACCTTTCTTTTCTTGTTCTTATTCTTCCACCTTTCTCTATTCCGTTCTCGAGCCTCAGATAATGACAAAACTTTTGCCAACCGAAAATCATCATCAGAATCTTCTACTTTCCTTTTTTTCCTTTTCTCTTCAACAGTTGAAACAGCTGCGATCACTACATTACTTTTGAAATCTGAATCTTGATCTAATCCTTCGATGGATGAAATCTGATAAGTCCGCGACACAGTAGCGGTTCGCTCTTCTTTTTGCTTTGAAGAAAAATAATTAGTCAATTGAGTGCCTTTTCGCGTTTCAACATCTTGTGCTAATTCTTGTAACAAAGAAAGGATCTTTGTCACAGTATATCCTTGCTTATTACCACATTTCTTCACATGATTTATCTTGCCTTTAACATCTTTAATTCTACTGGAAAACTTCTTCTGACAACATGGGCACATAGTGATCGTTGAGAGTAAGGGAAATTTTTGGTTGGAAAGAGTAGAAATGTCGAATGATTTGGTATTACCAATACTCAAAATTTCATATTGAATTGCTTTTTTTTTACCATTTTCATTTTTATTGTTTTCTTCATCTACATCAATAATTTCAACCTTCTCGAGACATCTATTCAAATGTGCCTCACGAGTCATTATACCAAATTTAGTCAGATCTTTACCACATAAGGTGCAAATACAAGAGTTTGAACCTTTTTCTTTTCCACGTAAACTTGATGTTAATTTGGATAGTCGACTCTTTGATGATTCTACATTTAATGATAAATTTTCATAGTTTATATTTCTATCTTTACCATCCTGACTGGTATTATTATCATCCTGACTGGTATTTCTGACATCCTGACTAGTATTTCTATCATCCTGACTAGTATTTCTATCATCCTGACTAGTATTTCTATCATCCTGACTAGTATCGTGACATACAGATATATGATGTGAATTTTGCAAACCATTTGTAGGATTTTCTATTTTGGAAAGTTCTTTATGCGAATAGGAAGTTGAAGATTCATCCGGCTTTATATCAATGGTAATTGGATCTTTGTTAATATTGATTTGATTTAATTTATCTACATTATTGAGATCTTTATATTTATTGCTGGCGTTATTTTGCAGTATATCAGTAGCAATAACTTGATTTGACTCATTTACGTTATTAGAATCTCCAGGAGTATATTCATTGGTCAAGGGTTGAAAAAAGGATGTAATGCTTTCCATTTCATAATTTTTCGGTTTATAAACCATCATTCGTTTTTTCTTAAGTCTTTTTTCAATAGTGTTCAATTTTCGTGTCGTAACTTTTTCGCTAACTATGGTTTTCTTTTCTGGTGAAGGAATGTTAATATTTGCTTTCACATTATTGTTGACTTCCATTAGAATGTCCTGATTATTTTGCATTTGTTTTCGTCAAATAAAAAATGAAGTTTGCGTTATGAATAAAGAGAGTTATGGAGAGTGAGAAGAAATTCGCGTTTTTTGGCAGATGAACATTTTATGCATGTTTGTCATTTGACATTTTTACACGTGAATGAAAGCCAATTATTATTTGATCTTTATTAAAATTATCAAAAATATAAGTAGAATCAAATCTGAGCCCAAGGAAAAAATATAACTCTTTTCAATCTGCTTCTTTTTACTTATTTAAGCAAAATCAATTATTTGTCCAAAACTCTTTTTAACCATATGATTTTATTTCCATAAATATTTTTTACAACCTTTGGTCATGTGATCATGATTTTTATATTCATTTAAAATATGAAAATTCAAATTTCGAGATTTGGAATAATTATATAAAAAAGAGCGAATTGAGGCTTTCCACATATATTAATACATAATGTATAATTATAATGAAATAACATACATAAGTTTAATGAAGAAAAATAGGCGATTTCTTTCAGTGAGTATGCTAGAAATATTTAAAAATGGAGTGTACAATTTACAAAATTTGATCAATTTTGGCCAATGTTGTATATGCTAACATTTCCTATGGTGGTTTAAAGGTTATGCCAAAAACATAACTAGAAGGATACACTCAAAAATTTAAAATTTAAATCAATGAAAAAACTGAAGCAATTACTTAACGGATCAGGAGGAAATAACTTGATGATCCTGGTGTTTCTTGAGCTCAATAAATATTTAAAAAATTATTGTTTAGTTCCTTGTTATTTTCGTTAAATGGTTTCAATGCTATGACTATTATTTTTAAATGACCTGAATATTCTCATCAGCAAGAAAAAAAATAGCATGTGATCATTTTCATTATGTAATCATGAACACTATAAAAAAGGAAGATCTCGTTGTTTACCTTCCCAAGTACGTACATATAATATATGCCTAAGCTCTTGGGAGGAGTTTCCGCCAGCAGCCCAACATAATATAACAGCCTTTTTAAAACTGAGAGAGAGCGTGGAACAGTAATGAATTAGAGCAACGTCTGATTCAAAAAAAATGATATTATTATGGTAAAAAATATTATCATATTTTTTTAATGAAGATCACCCAAAGCCAAGTTGGATCAATTTTATAATATTATTACTATCTAAGAAGAATTTTTCATTATTTTTTGAAACAAATGATAAGGACTTTGATAAATTCTTTACTGTAGAAGTCCTTTAACATAAAAAAAAATTTATGTATTTCATGCTCAGTGGTTAAAATAATAAAACACTTTTTACTATATGCATATATGCGATGATAAAAATCAATTTATACAAAAATTATTTAAAATCAATTTATACAAAAAATTGGTTTTCTTTTTTAAATTATTTTCTCTTCAGTAGATGCTGAAAACCTTTACCAATATTTTTTACTAAAAACTAAAGGCATTTTCATACGCCCAAATACTATATTTATTTTACTTTGTAACAGAAATCACTTGTGCATATCGTTTTTTGTTAAATCTTCGAATAGGAAAAATGGAAAATTATCTTGATTTAATTAATGCAGTCAAAGAAATTTATTTTTGTACTTTAACAATTTTTCAAAATTTTTTTATTCCTCATAATATACATAAACTCTATAACTTTATAACTTTAAACATCTATAATATCTTTAATAATACACTACAATATATAGCATATAGAATCTCTTGTTCAAGAAATAAAGTTGTTTGATAAAGAAAAATTACCTAAAAATTTGAATATACCAAATTTTCGAATGATTATGCTGATTATATGCTAGTTCTTTGACTAGTTCTTTAACTAGTTCTTTGACTAGTTTTTTGACTAGTTTTTTTGACTAGTTTTTGACTAGTTACTATGATCAAATTTCTGTTTACTGGTTTTGAACTATAAAAAAATCAAGAAATTTAAATTTGGCTGATTTTGTTAAAGATATCAAAGAATAGCTTTTTTATATATAAATCTTATAACTTTCTATATTAAATAAATTATTTCGTTTATCGTCTGAATATGGATTAACATAAATGAACAAATAATGAATGTGTGTCAATAAAATTGCTAAACTTATTTTATATTAAATTTTTTTACTTGTGGCAAGAGAAAATTACAAACTATTCCTGAAAAAAAGTCACTTTATTGACGTTGCAAAGTTGTTTATTCAAAAAGTTTACACGTTACAAATATACATATACGATCAATTAGTGTCACACGAGTTATCAGCATTTGGTTTAAGAAATTATCAAATATCAGAAATCAAACCTTTCATCTTTTGGTTTTTTTCAACACAACGCGCTGTATTTCACAGAAAGGTTATTTATCGGTTTATTTTGTCATTGTATATATTTCGGTTCGTAAATTTTTATTATAAAAGTAAGAATTAAAGTAAAATAACTTTGGGAGAAGTTTTTATTTCATTATTTCACAATATTCGTAATAGAATTACTGAGATATTTTCGTTTTTTAAAAAAAATTATTTCCTTTAATATGAACTTAATGAAATAATTTCGTTTATTTTTACTTATTAATATTTCAAAAAAAAAGATAACCGATGAACATTGTCATTACAAAACTTGGAATTTCTGTCACTAATTCTGACGGTGTTGGTTCCTTTCAACCCACTAACGATAGTGAATCATCTTCATGTTATTATCGTTTAATTGATTCCGAAGAACCAAAAGCCTGTGCATGGCTAAATAAACTTGGTTCTTTTTTGACTAATTGGTTAAAAGATAATGGAAATTATAAGACTAATAAGGGTAATTGAAATGTGAATCTTTAAAATTATTTGTCGATAAAATATTGATAAAGTTGATAAAAATTGATAAAGTGATATTTATTATTAATAATGATAAAAAAAAAAATATTATTATTAGTAAAGGAAAAGTTATTAGCTTTTCCAACAGGATATTATCTTTATGAATATAGGAAGTTAAATATTGATGGTACAGTAAGATCAGATACCTACTTATATGGTAAGTTATTGATATTCCTATTTTTGTAATCAATATTTTGATCACACTAATTATTGATGAAATTTAATAGGTGCACATAGATTTCGCTCCCCAAGTGAATTCTCACCACATTTAAAATGGTTAGTTACCAAAGAACCTTCATCATGTAATTGCATTTATTGTACTAAAGGTAAAGGTAAAGGTAAAGGTCAAAGTCGTCAAATAAAAACAACTTCAAAATCAACTACAAAACCAACCCTAAAGAAATCAACCAAAAAAGTTATCAAAAAGACAACCAAAAAAACATTTAAAAAAACCACTAGAACAAAATCTTTAAAAGAATCAAGTTCTAAATCTTCCCGTACAAAATCAAGCAAGTCGAACCAAAATGGTTCATCAATTGGTGATGATGATTCTCATCAAAGTGAACCAGCAACACCACCAACACTAATTCAGACTGATAATAATGATGATGATGATAATAATAATAATAATAATGTGCATTTACCCAAGGCCAAATATGCCGAATATCGTACTGGTGAGATAGTATGGGTTAATCTTTTAAAAGCCAATGAACCTAGTCTCTTGCCCAGGATTAAGAAATTAAATGATGAAATTGAAATTGAAATTGAATATTGGCCCGGAGTTATTTATTCTCGAGGAAAAGTTGCTCCGGATGTTGATAAAGTAAAATTTACAATTAAACTTGTCGTGATAAATATTGAAGTAAATTTGAGAAGAACTGGAATGTTACCATGGAAAGCATATGACCCAAAAATTTCTGATTCTCTTTTCGAACGTGTGATAGAAGGTATTGATAAATTTAACTTTTGTATAAAAGTAAGTTTCTTAAAATATCTTTTAAAAGATAAATAAATTAAATATATTAAATATTAAATTGTTTAGCCAATCAAACCGAACCAAGAATTATTATAATTGAAACCAACATACAAGAATATGTTAGAGCTGTTCATCGTGCTAAGGAGGCTGCTCTTACTTATTCTCCCATGAAAAGTTTCTCAGTTTCAGAAAAATCAGTAACCTATCAACATTTTGAAGCTTTAATGTATGGAGCAGAAGTGATTAGAGCAGGTGACTTAGTTCGATTAATACCTGAAGATACCGAAGATAAGGAAGTTGAACCGGAATATCCGGAATTTCTAGAGATTGGAACTATTTTTAAAAATCCAGAGAAAGGAATTCAATTAACTGGAAATATTTTACAACGTGGTAAATTATTGAATAAAACAGGACCTCTTAAGTTAGAAGATTATAAATGGTGGATCGTAAGTAATAATTTTTTAAGAATTTCAAAATAATTTTAAATTCCTGAATTATAAACAAAAAAAATTTTTTTTTTAAATATATAATATAGTCTCATGATTTAAATGAGGAATTTACAATTGATTTAGAAGATGTAGCTGGACGTTTTTATTTGATGATGCCACATTTAACAATTCGCACCAAAGCAAATATTTTCAAAAATGTAAATGATCGAATGTCAATTATCGAATCAGGGTCTGATATGGAGAAATTAAAAAGTATACCAGTAACACCTATAGTAAGCGTTATTCCGGCCAAGAGAACTTTGGCTAAGTTGAGTACACGTATTGACAATTCAGATTCATCACCTTCCGTAAAAAAACAAAAAAGATATATTGTACAATTTCCAAAAAAACGTCCAGTCAAAATAATAAAGAAAGAGAAGTTTAAGACCAAACCTGATGTTGAATAATAATAATAAGTATTTGATGTATTATTTTTAAAAGTTTGTGATTATGAGCAACACAATTTTAATTCACAAATATAATTCTTATGGTTCCTTTTTTTTTGAATTTGTTCCTGAAATTATTCCGAGATGAAATTATTTTTTTTCTGAGGGGTTCTTTGCCATTAATGGAATCTATTACTTTGTTTTATTTTATTTTATTTTATTTTTTTTTTACTTTTTTGGAAGATATTTTTGGCTAAATTTTTTTTTATTTAGTGTTAATTTTTAATTTTCCAAGTACTCAAAAAAAAAATGATAAAAAAATGAAGTTTGTGTTCAACAAATTTTGATTAAAGATTCTTTGAATTATTTTTCTATTCTGTTCATTTTATTATTTCTATTATAACCAAACCATTCTGACCATTTTTGAGAGTATCTAAATAAATAAAACAAATTTTAATATCATTTATAAGATAAATATTGTTTTCATTTCACATATCTCCTCTTTATAATAGTACAAATAGAAAGATGAAGGATACATTTTTGTAAAGAAAAATTCAACAATTTTTATTTGAACATAACCATGATCAGTTATAGTTATCTAAATAAAGTAATACTTTTTAAAGAGTTCTCAGAAGTAAAGATTTATTTATTAATATAATATTTATTATATTTATTGACTAGGCAGAGTTAGAAATGTGAAACCATGTTTAATAATATTCAAAATATATATGTATATATATATAATACGATGATAATATTGAAAATGAGAATAAAAAGGTAATGAGAGAAAAATAGTGAATAATATACAAGAAACCAAGCTTACACGTTTCTTTTTTATAATTACCAAACACTAGAAAGATAATTTCCAACTAACTACTTAAATGCATAAGAGAGAGGAGCCCTAAAACAAAACTTATATTAGTGATGAATAATTATAACTGAAGGAATTTAGGAATATGTACAGAAAAGATTTTTTTTTTTTTTTATCTTTTAGTTTTTTTATTTATTTTTATAAAAGTAGCTCAAAGTCCAGCAATCCTTTAAAAAAGGAAAAAAGATAGAGTTATTAGTAAATAATAAAATAAAGAATAATAATTAATGTTAAAAAAAAAAAGATTTGATACATACAAATGCTGATGGATGACAATGATATGAGAGACATAAATTTTCAAATTTCATACAGATATGCTGTTGGTAATAATAAAATAAAATAAAAATATAGTAATGATAAGATTAAAGGTTAATAATTTAGAAAGAACTGAGAAAGGACTTCACAGTAGCAAAAGAATCTACTTACATAACCTTCTTCACATGGAAAGCTATCAGATGGAGGACAACTTTTATGTTCCAAATAATTATCACTATTTGTATTATTGTCAACAGCAAATACAATTGAAATAGCTAAATTTAAAATTATTATTATTATTATATTATATAAAAATTATTAAAATTATTAAAAATTATTAAAATTATTAAAAATTATTAAAAATTATTAAAAATTATTAAAATTATTAAAAATTATTAATAAAAAAATGTACATACCAACGATAACAATGGCTATAATAGCAAAACAAAATAATGTAAACCAACACACATAAGTAGGGTCATTTTCTTCGTCCAAGAAATATCTACTGAATGGTTTCTTTTGTTTATGGTTTGTTTTATTGAATTTTTTGATTTCTAAATCTTGTGGAGAATTTCCATGTGAAGATAACTGACTAAAAAATGGTTGTTGAGCTTCAATATCTCCTCTTTCCGTATTGTTTCCTTGTTTTTCTTTTTGCATCTGTGAATCAGTTCCACTACCAAAAGTTGAAAATATCGGAGCTGATAATGGTTCTTGAACTGACGAATATTTTAACATATTTATTTTATAGTTATTTTTAGTTTTACAGTTATTCCAAAGTTTATTTAAAGTTGTTTATAATTATTTTAAATATATTGATATTTTTGTCTGTTCTGTAATAGGAAACACGCAAAACTGTTTCTCGATCTTAAGTTAAAAAAAAAAATCTAATGCAGATTATATACATAATTTTTGATTCACACAACAAAAAAAATTGTTAACTTTTTTTATAATAATGCAAGTTTTCTTTACGGCTTCTGTGTGTGACTTATTTATGACGTTTTTTTCATCATTTTGGAAGATTCGAAAATAACTCGTGATGCCAAAATTAGTAAAGGTGGAACTCATTTTTTTTTTATTCGGCATGATCTTTTTTGGGAAAATTCAATAAAAAAAATCCTGAGAAATTCATGTTATAGCGCCACAAAAAATCTGAGATGGGGATTCCTTATGCTTATGTAATAGATCTATAATCTTTTTAATATTTTCTTTTTGTACAAATAATGTAAAAATCATAAGCCTCAAAGAGCATTTGATAGTTTTCTGTGATGGTATTAGCCAAAAATCCTTGTTTAGTCAATAATTCAACTTCTTCAGGTAAACACTTGATAATTTATAAATATGATTCATGCCATCTTCTTTAAGAACTACACGAAAGCCACACAATGGACAGATTTATAACTTGCTTTTGCTGGTAAAATATAATTGATTAGGGTTATTCTATTAATATTTCTTTTTAGACTATGTAATTTCAGCATAATTTAAAAAGAATTTCATTTTTTTTTTGGTTGCTAAAGCAAAGATTTTATGTAACTTTATTTAAATAAATACGCGCAACATTTTAATTTATATGAATACATAATACATTTGAGTAATAATTGCTACTAACTAGTTACTGTAACTAATTAATGTTGACCTGTCGCATAATTTAAAAGAAAATTCTTATTAATTACCATTTTGGTTTTTTCACTGAAGAATAATATTTAAAATAATCTTGACAAAGAGATGTATTATGATCCTAGCAATAAAAAGTCCTTATTATTAACTTGTAATTCAAAGATTGAATGGTGGATTCAAAATATCTTTTTAAGAATGATGATGAGGATACCAAAATAGACAAAAGACATGATCTTTTAGATCAGAATTATTACATACTTACAGTTAAACACAGATTTAGCCAAGTTAGAATAGTTTTTATTCCTGTAGTATTAATATTCTTGATTTTAATAATAATAATAATAATAATAATTGTTAATTTAATAGGAATATAAAGTTCATTATTTTATTTTTAAGATAATTCCGTCAACAATACAATACCCTTTTTAATTAAAGTGATGTTGAACTGGTTTAATATTTTTGAAAAAGACATTAATTCAAATGTAAGCTTCTGGTAGCAAAGATTCAGAAGGATAAATAATAATTAGCCGTTTCCTACCTTCCAGTACAGCAAGACAAGTTCTGAGACCAATTGAGACTATGGTGACATAACAAGCCCCCACTACATATGATAGAATTGCCAAGATAATGATATCCTGCTGACTATCTTTAAACCTATTTTCTCAATCGAGTAAGCTTAATGGAACTGAAGATTCATTTGGACAACTTTGCGAGTATGACATATTAAAAGACCTACATATTTAGCCTGGTATAAGTATGGTGTGATGGATGAATCTATTGAATTTGAAGGAGCAAAATTTAATCTCCTACTTAATGTCAAAAACAAGGTAAAAATTCATTCCACTTTATTTTTCTCAATGACTTGAGAGCAATCTAAATGGTGAAATATCGTGCCTGTTAGCTGGTTATATAAGAATTCTAGCCTCATCAATGCAAAGAAGAAAGCAACCATGTTTAAATAACTTTCATTCGAAGAATAAAAACTGTTTTTGCTTAAACAAAAAATTTTTCTTTAAAAAATTAAATATTATAATTATAATTAAATTTTAAAATAAGATGGACCACACCTATTACTATTATAAAACTATTTGACCGCAGTCCGCTTTGTTATATAAATTGTCGATCTTTTAATATTTTATTTTATAAAGCTATTCGACAGCGGGTTGTCTTTATTTTAACTTTCGCTAAAAAGGAATTATCATATGTATGAAAATGGCCGTTTTGTATGATTTATTATTTATATCTTCTAATATTTTATATTAAATTCAGGCAAAGTTTCAAGGCAAATTATTAGAATCATGCTTAAATTAGTTCAAGTTTAATAAATTATAGTTTAATGCATTTACGTAATTGCAAATTTTATTAGATATTAGTTTATAATTTATTAAATTAATTAACAGAAAAAATAAATTAAAATATTATAATAAAAATATATATGAATATTTAATCTTTCACTTTCTACATTATATCCTTCATCTGGTGAAGGTTAAAAAACAAAAATTATGATTGAAGATTTGTTAGCTTTTCACTCTATAGATAAACTCTATTAACCGCTGATGACAAAGTTGACCTTTTTATTAATTCAGGTGAACGATAAATTCGTTGCGTTGGATATTTGTTCGTGTTTATCCTTAGTGAGTTTTTTGAAGCTTTTCGTGTTAAATTTTTTGGCATTTCAGTCGAAGTTCGCGAATCATCAGAACCATCAGAAACAATTTGTGGAACGTTAGTTTTTTGGGATAATTTCGGAGCTAATTGTTGCATAGAAACAGAATTTCGTAAACTTGGTCTTTTTGATAACGGAGATAATTGTTGATGAACGTTTTGTTTTGTAACATCTTCTGGTACAGTCGAATCAACATAGTAATTTTTGAAGAAATGAAGCCAGGCAAGTACATCATCGATTGTTGACATTGGTCCAAGAGAAAGTCGAACTCCTCCAGCAGGTTTATCTTTAATATAATCAACTCCATTTCCGCACACCATCCCATATTTCGCATAGGTATCCATAACGTCATCCACAGTAATATCAACCCACTTCGCAATACAACCAGGATTACAATGCCCTCCTACTCGTATATGGATTCCATTAGCACTAGCCATTCTTTCCACTTCAGCGGTTCCTACCCAACTACCATCTGCCCTTCTTACATTGAAATTTATTACTGGTCCTTGTCGTGTATTGTCAGTAAATTCACGTTCGGTATAAATTTCGCAAACAGGAATTCCATTCCAATGCACAAATGATTGCATACGGCGAGAGAGAAAAACTATTAAGGAGGTAACATGTGGCTTTATTAAACTAAAGTTGAAATAGATTTGTTCATGTGCAGCGAATGCATGGTTTAAAGCAATGATATCTAAAAAGTTTATGGTGCCATCTTCGAAACGTTCGCTGACAGTTGGATGGAATCTTTGCCATGGACGATCATAGGCAACCGCTCGTACTTCATCATAAAGAATATTTATAAATTTTAATTTAATGGATTCAAAAAAAAAATTTAATTTTTCAAAAAAAAAAAATTAAAATAAATTATTATTATTATTATTTATACATTACCAGTTCCACCGCCAAAATATTTTTTTTTTAAAATTGGAAGTAGTTCTTTTTTGACCAATAAAGCACCTAAACCTGTAGGAAATCCAAAAATCTTATAAAAACTTATGGCCACAAAATCAGGAGAAGTTTCTTTATTGGCTAATGATAACATTGCCGTCATGGCGTAAGCTGCTGCATCTAATAATACCAAATGTTTTGATTTTGGTGTGTCTACATTTTTTTTGAGTCTATGTGACCAATTAAGAGGAAATCGTTGACCAGAGAAATTGCATTGAGCGGGGTATGCGAATAGATTGTAGACTAACTCATCATCATCATCCTCCTCAATATATTTATAATATCTTCGATTAATAAGATCTTCCACTTCACTTTCAAGGATAACAGTGATATCATTTAATCCTGCAGCTTCAGCAAGCGATCTTATTCCCAACAAACTATTATGAGATTCCCTTAAATATTTGAATGAACTTTTTCCCGCAACCCATGGAAATGTTTCTCCCACCAATCTTAATGCAGCCGTAGCATTTTGGGTAAAAACGACTTCGTAGTCGTCAGGACTAGCATTAAAATGTTTTAAGATGCGTGCACGAGTTTGGCTTACTCTGTGACTTGACAATGAAGAACTTGGATTTTCTGAATGAGGATTTCCAAAGAGATTTTGCGAAAGGTCGTTGCACACTGAGGTAAGTACTGATTTTGCGTAAGTGGTGGAACCTGAATGATCCAAATATACCGCTCCTGTAATAATAATAATAAAGAAAAAAAGAATTTATTTATTTTATTTTTTAAATGTAAAAAAAAAAAAAAATTTTTTTTTACCTTTCATATGAGAATATTCATTCTGGCGGATTGCATTAATCTTTCCGTTATATCCATATTGTGAAGAAAACTCTTTCAAAAATTCGATCTTATCTTTATTAGTTGCACGTTTCGCAGTCGGCTTAGTATCAGGGAAGTCTCTTAAATTTGGATTGGAATAAGTTTTTTTCAATTGTTTTTGAGTTTCGTAGAGAGATGTGTGGTTAATGTTTTGAGTCTCTTCTGGAACATTAAGACGAGTATGTCGGTTAATGGTTTGCTTCTCTTCTGGAACATTATAACGAGGGTATCGGTTAATGTTTTGCTTCTCTTCTGGAAAATTATAGCGAGATAAATCACGAGGGAAGGTATCTTCTTTCTTGTTGAGTCTGTGTTTTATGTAGGTAATCATTGTTTTTATTTTCAATTTATGCGAAAAAAGTAATTTCAATCCAAATTTAAAGCGATAATGAAGACACCTCTAATGGGAATATTATATAAACTTGTCAAAAGTGAATATTATATTCTTAAAAATATTAAATATCTTAAATAGTAATTGGGAAATACGTGGTTATATATGCTATATAGCATATAGGATCGCGGAAATCCTAAAATGAAAGATAATTAAGGTAATTTTGTTATAAGTTTACACATGATTTTCACTCCCGATTTTCAAGAGCGTTTCATGATTCTCGTGAATAATTTTATCATAGAAATGAAGATCTTAAAATAATTATTTGTATGATAATAAATACTTCCAAAGTTAGTATTACAGTATTTGAAAAGGAAAGCATTTATAAGAGAATAGGAGAACGTTTAGAAAGTTTCGGCTTTTCATTTGTTGATCCCGCAAAATAATTATTATGTAAGAAATTAATTCATAAAGTAAAGTGAACGATGTGAACGATGATCATTTTTAAATTACTGAAAAAAAGCAAATTATTTTATTTATTTTCAAATTTAGATTTATCTACATCAACCAAATAAGCTTTTAAAATATCTTCAGCACTAGGTTTTAAAGCCCTTGAATTATATGAATTATATGAAGGAAGTTTAATATGTTGTTGAGGATAATATCTTGTGATCATATGTGCCAAACCAGTTATTCTATATCTACTTGGGCCACCTAACCAAGAATAATAAGTTGTATACAATACAGCTAAAAGAATTATAAACATTGTTATTACTGACATTAAAGGAAATAATTGATGTTCACGTGTGGTTTGGACTTGAAAACTTTCTAAAAATTAATGAAATGTAATAGTAACATTAATAATAAAATATCGTTATGAAGAAAAAAAAAAATATAATCAAATTTATTGTATGTTTACCGGGTTTAAAATGAATTACACCAGTAGCACTTTTATTAGTTCCAAAAGCATTTGATCCTATTCCAAGTTCTGATCGATAATTCATATCCCATTTCTCAGTACCATTCAAAAATATATGTCTTTTATAACGAAATGTAAAAACTCTTTCTTTACATGGTTCATATTGATTTAAACGATAAGGATTTAATATTGTTTTACTTGATAATTCATTATCAGATAAATCGAATGAATTCCATATCATCAATTGCATTTTAGAAATTGTTGATGCATTAAAGAAAGAATATCTTATATATAAAGCAGATTGAAAAGCAGTCCATTTTTTCGTTGAGATCTCCGGTTTTGCGAGTAGAAGTGAAGAAGGTGTATGAAAGATCTAATTTATAAAAAATAAAAATAAAAATAAAATAAATAAAAAAATAAAAATAAATGAATAAAAAAATAAAAATAAAAAATAAAAAATAAAAATAAAAATAAAAAATAAAAAATAAAAATAAAAAAAAAAATAAAAAAATAAAAAAATAAAAAAATAAAAAAATAAAAAAATAAAAAAATAAAAAATAAATGAATAAAGATAGAAAGCTTACATAACACCCAGTAAACCAACCATTATAAGTATCATCATTGCTAACATTGACAAACTTTATTAATTCCGGACAGCTCAATGAAGTATTACCATAAAGGGTGCAATTAAAATTATATGAAATATTATCACTACATAAAGTAAATGCTGGTGGAGGTAATGAATCAAGATTATCAAACGATACTGTGGAATATACAAGTTGTGAACGAAATAGATCCATTGTCGTATTTATTATTAGATATATTATAAGAAGAATAGCAAAAAAAATTTGTAATATGATGGTAATTATTCTTCGTAGATTTGTTCCGATCTTCATTATTATTATTTTTTTAAATCAATTATTTAAAGAAAAAGGAGAGGAGAGGAGAGGAGATAAGATAAGGAACGAGTGTGAAAAAGAAAAGAGAATGCTAGCTCTTTAACCAAGTTTTGTTTAAAGATATTTTTATATCAAAAGGAATAGATCTTTATATCAAATAAAGAATAATAAATTTATTATCTATATTGTATGATATTTGATTAATATTATATGATATTTTTAATTTTCTCTAAAGCAGAATAAGAAAAAAATAATAAGAGAAGCCAGTTCTCTTGTAAAAATATATATATTTATATATAAATGGGACGTTAAAATCCAAATTTTCAACTCACTAAAATTTAGATCATATTTATAGCTTACAATTTTAATTGAATGCATACCCAATTAATCATTTATTCACAATATAATTACGTATGCGTCATTTGCGTCATTTGCGTCATCCGTAAAGAAACACAGTATAAAATATATATTAACTCGATGTGGTTGATCAATTATAATTAATTATCTTTATGTTTAAATTGTTCAAATTGAAAATAGCAAAGAACAATATTCTTTCGAAAATAAATTCCCCCACGTTTAATCTTCTGCATTTCCAAATTTGGGCATCAAAAAAGTTTTTTTCAATAAGTGTGGAACGTTAATTCCACTACTTTCAATATTTACCAATTTGGAAAATAAACGATTCAGAAGCAATTCATGAATAAATTTCAGCTAAAATTTCTCAGAAATCAAATTTTGGTCATAGCATTGTCTGTTTTATTAAAAGAGATGTGATATTTTGATATATTTTGTTTGATTATCGTACTTTTTTTTATCCAATCATCGAAGCGAAATGACATAACTGAATTGTGTTGTTTTGAGAATAAACTTTAAACAGAGAAAACATAACATAAAAGTGTGGCTGTGCAACCTCCCGAATGTTATAAATTTTGGTTCAAAAAAAAAAAAAAATCAATCAACAATAACTTTTTTGTTTGAAAGAAAGAAAATTTTTGAACCTATTACCTAAAATAATAAAAATAATAACTAAATTAATCTATAATTAATATTTTTTTTGATTAATTGAAAAATTTTGAACCTTTACCAATAATATAATAATAAAAATGAATTCAGAAATTAACACCATCAAAGAAGAAGACGTCCTTATTATACGCAACATGCAGGAAACTGGATTTATAGTCTCGTTCTGTGAAACGTTTAAGTCATACTTAAAAGGAATCGACTTCTGGCCTGAGGTAAATTGTATTCTTCCTGAGAAGCTTGTTATAGGATCTACGGCCCTTTATTGTCTTTTTGACCAAATAATTATCGCCACAAATTATATGTAAGGAATCCTAAATAATCAAAACATTTGTATTGGCTTCATGTTGTTAATTTGCTACTGCCATTAGGAATTAGAACGTGCAATCGCAGACAGCGCAGAAAATGATTTGATCGAGCAAATTCATTGTGCCTTTTTATCTAATTGTCTAAATCGTTTCAAGCAAGTAACGTAAGTAAAATTAAGTTTTATAGTTAATCATTTTATTTTTTTTTTGATAACATCCTTTATTTAAATGACGTTGAATAATTTTCCAACCTTTATAGTCGACAATCATGGAAAAAACTCTTGTCCGATACCATAGACCAGAAATTAAAAAAGAGCTACCAATTCTATCAAGATTATAATCCCCTTCGTAGGGTCAAAAGTTACCATGAACTTGACGTTAAAGATAAGGTATTATTCCATTCGCTTTAATTACTCGATTGAATAATTATTCGATTAAGTCAAAAAATATTCGATTTAGTCAAGAAACTTAAATAGACATGATAATTAATATAATTATTTTATTTTTAATAAAGGTTCTAATTTTGAATAATCTCGTAAATTGGCAACTACAAGAATGTAAACAAATCCGAAAGGCAATTGAGGAGGAATACCGAAAATCAAAAAAGAATAAAGATAACTCTCTCATAGTTGAACCTTATGGCGATGATAGGAAAGGAAGGAAATATTTTTACTTTGGAAGTAAGTTCGATATAAAATATCATACGAATTTTTGTATGATTTTTGGAAGTAAATAAAATAAATTTATAATTAATATGTTATTATAAATTAGAGGGGGCCCGACTTTATCGAGAGACGGTTTTACCAGGGAAGGGAAAAAATCCCGACCGATATAAATTTGAGACTATCACCACAACCATTGAAGATTTAGAAAATTATGTAAATGATCCAAAAGAAATAAAAGCCTCCGCCAGAAAAGACAAAGCTCTCTACAATAATTTGGTGAAAGAGCTTATACCTGCGGTCAAGGAATCAATCGACGTTAGTAATTATATTAATTGATATATATCAAGTTGATTAATTTAAATTAATTAAAATTCACGAAAATTTAGGCCAAAGAAAGGAAAGAATCCCGAAAGTTACGCCAGGAAAAATTAGCTCAAAAAGTTGCGCTGATGCATGCAAACTCTGAAGTAGTTGCAAGTCGTACCCGAAGTGGAACAAGGAAAGCTCTCGGCTTAGAACCATATCCCATAAGACAAGCATCATCCGTCACCGCCGAATCATCAAATTCATCAAATAGAAACGAAGATGAATATACTGGTCCTCATATGACAAGATCACGGTCAAATCGTAATTATGTTAAAAGAAAATATCTTGAATCATCAACAGATGAGGAGGAGGATGCTAATGCTCAAAATTCAACAAGGCCTGTTCGGGCCAGTAAAAGGTTAAGAGCAGAAAGTTCCGGTTCATCACCACACACAAACGGAGTCGGAGTCACCACAAGATTAAGAGTACTGGGCGAGGCCAACTCTGATGAAGCAAGCGAAGTAGGCGAAACAAATGAAGCAAATGAAATAAACGAAATAAATGAAATAAACGAAGTAAATGAAATAAACGAAGTAAATGAAATAAATGAAGCACACGAAGCAAACGGCAATGGAGTAGTTTTCCCTGGGGCTACTCCATTGGTCCAAGGTGAGGACTCCGAAACCCCGATATTTAAGGAAGTTTTCGGAAGCGATTCCGAAAACTTGTCTGAACCTTCATTATCTTCGATTGAAGGTGGTTCAGTAAGCGATTACAAACCTGAGGATGGTGAAGTTTCAGACGATGAATAAAGGGCGGCGACGACGACGACGACAACATGATGAATGGGAGAAAAAAATTAATATTAATAATTTGATATAATTTGCTGGTTGTTGGGACTTCACCAAAATTTGTTTATAAATTGTTTATAAATTGTTTATAAATTTTTAGTTAATGATTAAAAAATAAATAAATTTATTTTAGTGATGCATATCAAGTACATCATCATATCAATGTAATTGCATGTTCAATTGTTAAGAAATTTTCATTAATAAAATCGAATAGAATCACTCCAATCCTGAAATTAAAGCAAATACATTGGGATTTGGGATTTTGATCTTGTCAAAATTTAGATTTAATATTACATTGCTATTTTCGCGGATGTTAGATAATAATTATTTGTTTATTTATTAGTTTATTAGTGATACTTGACCTTTACTAATCATTTTGTTAAGTATTTTATAATTCAAATCAATAAATCTGAAAATCATTAAAAGACTTTTCTTTCTATCAACAATTCAAAATGTAATGTAATATGCCATTAAATTATCTGTTTATTAATAAGATGCATAAAATTAGAAAAAAAAGGTAATAAAGACATTTACGGAATTTTTTAAAAGAATTTCAATAACTTCTGTTATAAAACAATATTTTTTTAAACAAATCGTAATACTTAATTCCTATCCACCATTAATTCTATACAATTAAATCCTTTCTTGTGACAAGGAATAGTTTTAGCTGGGTTTACTGAGGTGTTACATGTGTGATAGGTGCAACATGAGACCTTTGGAGCAAAAGGTTGGTTTTGGTGCCGTGATTGCAGCTGGTAGGTATAACAGGAGTTACTTCTGGTACTGTGGTACAACAACAAGAAGAACACCTGGTCCGACTGCCTTTGCGAAATCATCGAATTTTATGAGTAGGAGTGAAAAATGATTTTTTTCCATGATTTTCTGTTAATACATGGATTTAAATACCGTGTATCTTAATTTTGGATGATAACTAAAGTTTGAGTCTTAAATATTAATTTTTTAAAAAATTACTTCTAATATTTCTAATATATAATGCGCGGAATAATTTACGTAGTTAAAGTTCTTCCAGTCCAAATTAATTTTTGATAAGAAACATTCTTAACAATCCTTTTAATTCTGTCAAGATGTTTAGAAGTTATTGGTTCACAGGAGGATATCACTAATTTTTTCAATGCAATATCATCAGTTCCTTCTAAACATTTAATTATGACTAGTAAATGTTGATTTCCAAAATCTTTGGAATCAACAATTTCTAAAACTTGTAAACTTTTTAATATATTTTTATTCTTTAAAAACGTCTCAAATGCAAATGATGAAAATGACCATATCGATCCTTCTAATCTTAACTCTTTTAAATTTTGTTTTATCTCGTTGAAGTATAATAATAAATTTGAAGGTTCGTCACTTGATCGTGAAGCTGAACCAATTAATGTTATATGGGATAAATTTTGACAATATGTGAATATAGAACAAAGTTGTGATAATTCACTTGGGTAAATGCATGCTTTTAAATTCTTTAAGTTTGGAAATAATGTCGCTACAAGAGTTAGGACTTTTCGAGGCATTCTATGCATATAAATATCATTTCTTGTATGTTTCCCTAAACCTAAAGACTCCAAATTTCGAGGACATGATAAAAACAATTTTTCTAATACTTCAGCGGAAATATATGTTCCGTTCAAGTCAAGTTCTTTGAGGAAAGAAAATTCTAAATTGTTCAATGAGAATGAAAATTCGAAGTTGTCGAAACTACTAGACTTTATCGAAAGTGTTCGTAGATTTTTAAAATTTCTTATGTTATCAAAAATCTCTAATCCGAAAAATGTTACATCCACAAAACTTATTGAATTTAAAGAAATAACTTGAGATTCTAATGCAGACATTATTGTAGGTAATCCTTCTGAGCATATGTGTAGTCCAAAATGTTTTAATGCCTTTTGTGATTGAACAAGCGTTGCTAAACATGAAGCTTCTTGTTCAACTTTTGGCAGTTCATGAATTCTTGCTGGATCACTGACAAAATAATCACGTTGATAACTAATTGTTATTATCAAATATTTTATGTTGTGTGCAAATTTGGCTAATGAAAGTAATAGAGTTGATTTCCACCGTCTAGTCGTACATATTAGTTCAGTCAATTGATCTAAACAAGGGCCATTTCCAGTATATGAACTTAATGTTTCGTAAATTTCTACTGGAAGGTTTTCCGGTCGCAAAATTCTTTCTTTTTTCAATGTTGAACAAAAATATTCCATTTGTTCTCGTGTATAGATATGTTGTGAATCAATTGAAACCCTTTCAAGCTTTGGACATTGAGTCATGAAAGCCTTTACAACAATATGAACCATTAAATCTCGGGGGGAAGAACCAGAATATTTTGGTAAGATTTCGTTACCGAATGATGAATTAGTCAAGAATTTCATGAAATCTACATAATTATATCTTTCATTTGATAATTTTAAATAGTCTTTTTTTTGAAATTTTAAAATATCTGCAGATATTCGTTTTTTATTAGAGGAAAATTTTATCCAATCCTCTACTGCTGAATATAATTCATTTAAATCTATATCATTTAAATAATCAATATAATAAAATAATGGAGCAGATGAAATTTTAAAATTAGATTTATTTTGAATATAAGAATCTTTGTATTTAAGTAGAAGACATGAAAGATATGTTGATAAAAGGTTTGCAGCTTGAGATCTTCTTTTTTCAGTAGAACAAAAACAAGGCTTTTTCTTGCATGTATATAATAATTTAAAAGGTTTACACCACAAAACTTTTATAGTTTCTTGACACCAAAATCTGTTGACCAAAAGACAAGAGCACAATGATTTTTTATCATTACTTAAATGGCAAATTATTGGTAAAATGAATTCACAGGGAAGAGAAGGTAAATTTTGCTCTTTCTTAGATGATTCTTTGGAATATTTGTAAAAAAATTTTGATATTCTAAACATCTTGTAATGCCATGCTTCAGAGTTGAAAACAGATATTCACATTAAATAATAAAAATAAAAAAAATATAAATCTCAATTTGTCGATTTCATATGGTAGTTAGAAGATCGCTAAATTTTGAATAAATTCAAAATGATGTGATCATCTGAGAATCAGTCACGAGATCTTTTAGTTCATATCTTGTTAAACAATTAAAGATGATTGATCAAAGTATTTGAATTATGCTTTAAAAAACTCTATTATTATGAAAAAAAAAAAGCATTAAAATTACACAAAAAATATTATGTGTAAATATTTATTATTGAAAAGCATCTATTTTTCAAAGTAATTGCAGACTAGCTGAGCAAGAACTTTATTTAATTGCTTGAAAATAGTTTATTTTGACCAAAAGTACTGAAAATGCACTGAAAATCTTTATAAAAAAAAAAAAGTTTTTATTATGGTAAACATAAAGGTGCAATGAAAAATCAATAATATATTATATATAAATGCCTATCTCTTATTATTTAAGAAAATTTATATATTATTTATACAATGTGAGAGTTTACAAGTCAAAAATTTGAAGCTCTACTATTGATACTAATGTTCTCTACAGTCTCTTTAATATCTACTGCTGAAATTTTATAAATACTACACCTATCGGTATCGGATACCAGGTTTGAAAAGAAACAACTCGCAATAAATATATGTAGACATATACTGTATGTGATAATGAGAAAGGAGCTATCCCAGTAGTACAAATAATATTATATTGGGTCAATCTGTGGTTACACAATTTTTGAAAAGAGTTATAAAAGTTAGTATTGTACATATTGTACACAAATATATTTAATACATTTTAATTCTACTGCTTTAATGTCAATACATTCTTTACCAACGGAGTGTCTAAAGTATATACTTGAAAATCTTAAAAATCATACAAAAACTTTACATTGTTGCCTTTTGGTAAATCGTTTTTGGTGTAAAAATGTAATTAAATTGTTATGGAGTCATCCTTTTAGTCTTATAGAAGCTGGTAAACCAAATGTAGGGAATTCTCTTATCTCGACATATGTTTTGTTTCTTAAAGATGAAGAAATTGCCTTACTTTTAAATAGGTCAATCGACATATTTAATAATAATCCTCCATTATTTAATTATCCTTCTTTTTTGAATGAACTTAATTGTTCCACTTTAACATCTGCAATATTAAACTGGTTGTTTGCAAAGAAACTTCCTATGGATTGGAATGAAGTTTCATTATTAGTTAAATCCCTTTGTGAATTATTTATGCGAAGTTGCACAAATTTTTATTCTTTAAAAATTTCATTACCATCCTTTGATTTTGTGTGGGATTATTTAGATTTCTTTAATATTTTTAATGTTCAACCTGGCCTATCAAATCTCACCAAATTCCAATTAGTCATTGTAGGAGAATGCAATATTAGAGAGATTTCAAATTTAACAAAGTTTCTCACTAGCCTTCCTAAAATATGTACAGGTGTAAAAGAACTTTATATAGAATGTATGGGCGAACAAGAGTGTTTTATAGAATTAATTGCCAACATTATTAGATCCCAACACAATCTTTTGAAAATTCGTATCAAATGTACACGAGAGGATAGTGTTAATTATATAATGCCAGCTTTACAGCATCAACAAAATTCATTGAATTCAGTCCAATTACATCTCATGAATCTTGATAGAATTTCCTTAGATCATTTGGCTGCATGTCATAATTTAACATCTCTTGAGTTGAATGGTTGTTATGGACTTACTTTAAACAACATAATTCCTTTGATGAATGCAAATTTTGCTATCAAAAATTTATATCTTTGGAATCCACTAAGATTGACAAATGTTCATTCTGCAATAATTCAAAAAGCAGGTCAGAAATTAAGAAAACTTGTTCTTAGCCAGTTGACCAGGGAAATCACACAAACTATTTTAACATTTTGTCCTAATATCACACATTTAGAAATAGGATATTCAGATAAAATATCTACATTTTTTATTTCTTTATTAAATAATCTTCAAATTACACATCTCACTATTCAAGAATTAAATTCATTTAGTTCAAATTTAGATCTCATTAAGATGTTACCTTCGTTAGGGGAAAATTTACCTTATTCATTAAATTATTTAAAATTGGATGGAAATTTTGATCCAAATCAGGTTGATAATTTAGTAATTAATTGCAAATCACCTATAAAAACATTAATTTGCAAAAATATCCGTAATATTCCAAATAAGAGTATAATTCATTTTATAAAATCAAATGAAGGAAGTTTGAAAAGAATTGGTGTGATGATTAAACAAATATATTTATTTAATTTTAAATGGAATTGTTTTGAGAAAAGAATTGAAAATGATGAATATAAAACTTATATGTATTCTTCACTGCAATTGGATGATTCATGGATATTTTAGATAACATAATAAATATATAATGAATAAAATAATAAGGTCTATAATATTTTTACTTAAAAAAAAAATTTTTTTAAATATTGGAAAGTTTTAAACCAGAATGTAAGACAGCATCTTTATAACTGATGAGAAAGCGAACTGTAAAAGTAGTGAACTTGCAATTTTTGAAATAATTCAATCAAGTTTTTAGATGAGCAAGTACCAAATAAAAATTATAATGAATGATTTATATGATAAATATAATTGAGAACATCCTAACTTTCTAATTTCACAGATTTTATCTCTCCTAAAAATTTCTAATCTTGTAACAAAGAAGGCAGTGATTTTTCCTTCTATGCTATATGTTTTGTTTTTTTATTTACAAGATTCGATTAAAAAAATCGATATTCTTGTTATATATGTACTTATTAAACATTCTATATATTACATGATCGTACAACAAACTATCGGCTTTTTACGGTTTCTCTTTCATTTACGACTGTTTTTCCTTAATAAATGAGTAAACAGATCGTGGGTTTTAATAAAATCGGTTTTATTGGTGTATTTTTTTTTCACAATAACAAAGAGATTCTAAATTTAGTATTTGTTATCCACGTAATTTCGTGTTAAGAGAATTTCTGCGTAAGTTGACTTTATTAAATTTTTTTTTAATCAAATATGAAGAACAAAATGTTACTACTTTTAAAAATTTTAACAGTAATGTTTAAACAGTAACCTAATTTCTCTCAAATAAATGATTTCTCTAATTTCCCAAACCTTTATTGTTATATTTTTTTTATTTATAAATATTTTAGTAATTATTCTTTCTAAAAGAAAATTCTAAAAGAAAATAATTTATTAGATTAATTTAATAAGACATTTATCGCCAAGTAAATTTCCATACATTTCGCATAATCTGGATACATCTATAATTAACTTTTTTTTCATAGCACTATCTAATCTACCACATTCGACCAAAAGAATCTATTCACGCAGCAGTTGTTTGTCCAGCAAGTTATGTATTAGTATTAGTAATAATTAATCATAAATTTTAAGAAAATATTACATCATAGTTTCCCATTTTAGGATGCTCAAAAATTATTTTCCGTCTTTATTTGTTTTCTATATCCATGTGTTTTTCTGCATATAGTACATCACGGAAAATTAATTACCGATATCCGTCATCAATGGATTTTCCGTTTTCCGCTGCGGTAATTTTATTTAGGGAAGATCTATTTTTGTTTCATAATTTTAATCAAGTGAACAATGTCACTCTGGCCTAATTTAGAGAAGAAAAATCCGTCAAGAAATGCGTCAATTTGACGGAGAATTAAATCCGTACGATGAATAAGTTTATTCAAGTCAAATGTGCGAAAATGAAATTTATATATAAACAAGAATTTAAAACCAACTAAATTCAACACAAGTTATTTCGTTTTAAATAGCTTACAAAAAGTCAAGAGAAAAATTCCTTATCATTTTTTTTTATATACGAGAATATAAAATACTTGAAGAATCAAAGAATGGGATATTGGAGTCAAGAAAGGTATAACAGCTGGAATTATTTTGACATTCCTTCAGCTTTTCCTTTTAATCGTGCGGACGGTCCTGATCTCCAGAATATAATGAGAAATTTATATAGTCTTAAAATGAAATTAAGAAGTATTGACGATGTAAACCAAATTCCTCTAGGAACTCGAAATTATTTACAATTGGCTTTTAAAGCCGTATGTGCTTGCCAATTAACCAAAAAACTTCCTAACCCAACGATCCGCGAAAGCTTAGACGTCGCATTATCAGACATTCTTGATAATATAATTCCACAACTTGAACTTGGTAACGATGCTCCATATATTCCATTTCGTAAAACCGCTACTAATTTATTAATGGATTACCGAGATATAAGAATTATTTGCCAAGAATTGGAAAATGATTTGGAAGAATACTTTAAAGAAGATTATATATTTAATGGAATGTCGAGGTTGTTTTGTGTTTTATTAAGTCAGTATCCTAATAGTAAATAATCCAAATACTGTATATATCCGAATATATATATATGCCAAATATTATATTTTTTTTTATATTAATTATGAATAAGTTAATTTTGATATTAAATTCTAAGTCACCTAAAAATAAGTTATTATGATTATATTTATAATTGGCAACCTTGTGTGTTAAGTAGAAATTTATGATTAAATGTTTTGTTAGAAGTAGAAGTAGAAGTAATCTAATAAAGAAATATTAGCAAATTTTTTGTACCATATTAGAAAAAATTTATATAGAAAGATAAATAATCATGAAATCATTAAAATTATCGACTAAGTATATGCTTACTGAAATTTAATTTAATTCTAAAACTCCATTTATATTAAATAGATATTAATCCCGATGTAGTGAAACTAATATTATGATTTGTTGCACAAATTTGATCTTAGATAGAAAAAAATAAATTAAGTGACACAAGATGAAACATTCCATTAATCAAATAAATAAAAAAAAATGTGTCATTTAAATATATTAATGATTATTTTTATTACTATAGAACTCTCAAAAAATATTGTAGAAAATTACAAAGTATTCAATCCTTTCCTCATTTTTATAAATAAATTAATCTTTTTTAAAATTTATGCACGCAATCTTTAGTATCCCAAGTTTCTTTATTAATTTCATACTATATAACGTAGATTTTGTTTTTTAATAATTTGATTTATTTTGTACTGTTTTTGGTTATAGTAAGAATGTAAGAAAATATTATATTTTTGTTAGAAGAATTGTAATCTAATTATTCTAATTAATAAATTAATATAAATTTTTTATAATTGAAAATGGAGTTAGTTTGTAATAAATTTACTCATTTAAATTCTTACCTTGATCAAATGCAAAATATTCTAATTTATAATAAATAAAGATTTAAAATAAAATTTAAATATTAAATCAATGTAAAATAAATTATTATCTTTACTTATTTTATTTAATTATTATCTTTACCTATTATTATTTTTATTATTTAATTTATAATTATAAAACTGCAACTTATGTATATTTAGTCATTCCTTTTGTTTCTTTTTATTTTTAATTAGAACAATTAGAATGATCATCTTAGAAATTTCTTAATAAAAGAATTTTATAGACTTTTAAAGTTAAGAGATAATAGATAAAGATTAAAATGGTTAGTAGTAGAACCTATGTACCTTAATTAGAGTCTTGAATAATAATTAAGGTACCTAGCTCTGTCAATCAAAGAACCTCATGACAAGTTCAGAATTCTAAGAAAGAAGCAGACCTCAATTATGGTCTTGGACCTTATGAAACAAAGATGTATATAAAGACAGATAAATTTACTCAAATAAGTTTTATCATTCAAAAAAAAAATGTTATTTCTAATAAACCTTGATTTTGATTCACTTAATTTCGATTTAGTTGATTCTTTTTTTTTTTTATATATGTATTTTTATTTCCGAATTATTTAGTTTTTGCTCCTTTTACTAATTGTAACTACAATTACAATTGTCTTCAAGCGAATTCCAGTCTTAATAATATATTAATATATTTTAAATAATTTCTTCTCATTAATTAATTTTATTATTTGAATTATTTGGTATTATCTCTTTGAATTATCTATATTTTCCAATTATTAATATATTTAATGTTAAAAGTTATTGTAAAAAAACGTTTTCACAAATCTTTGTACAATAAAAATTTTACAATCAAAAAAATGAATAAATATCATATCCACGCCTCAAGCAATTTATCCAATTAAAGAAATTTTTAAAACTTATTGTTCTTAATACAATACGACCGATTTCTATTGTTTATTAGATATTTCAAACAGTCCAATTTGGATATTATCTATCTTTTCAATATTATAAGTAATCCTTTCTACTTATTAAATTTGCCAAACGTTATTTATTTTGATGCACATCATTGCCATTTTAAGACATACAAAAGAAACTATAAAATTGCGCTTTTTTTTTACTTTTTTTTTTTTTACTTTTTTTTTTACTTTTTTTGATTCAAGATTTTTTTTTTAAATGTATCAGATAGTTTATTGTGTGATTCGTCGCCAAAAAAAAAAAAAAATGTATGTGCTCGACAATCATTGTTAGTTAAATAACTCGATCCTTATTAATGTTCTATCATCAAGAAGCACATGCGAAGCACATAGATACATAACTGTACCATGAAGATTTTTTTTCTCCGATATTTAAATAATTTCCGTTATCTTTTAATGATAAGAAATTCGTGTTTCTATATTTTTTTTGAGATTATCAAAATTAAGAACTGTGAAAAGATCTGGTAAATTAAATTTTGAAATTTGACAGGATATTTCTTGGATAAGTAGGTTTGTTCTCTTGAAAAAGTAACCAAAATAAGGAAGTCTCGTATTCACATAAGTTATTTAAAAATAAAAATAAAAATAAAAATAGTAATATCAACAATAATATTTTTATCAACAATGCAATATTCAGAACTATTCCCAAAAAGAAAATAATGAATGTAAATAAATATTTAGTAAATTCAATGATATCATAATAACAACAAAATCTCAATTGTTTATGAATGTAACAAATATTACGTGTTATTGAGAGAAAGTAAAATTTTGAACTTTAACTTTATATAATTAGCCTGAATAACTTTTTTTTTTTTTTGTTATAAAATGAATTGAATTTTACTTACTTCAAAGCTAAGGACATATAGAAAGAGACATTAGCATGTTTCAAACCGTCCTTCACGCGTTCTCCGAAAGCAAAACGTCAAAAGTTTTATACTTTCTTGCTGTGCAAACGATGACTTGTTTGTTTCTTTAAAAATAACAAATTCGATTTTCAATTATGATAATCAAAATCAAACGTCGTGTCATTGAATTCACAGCATTGCATTTGCTTCAGTAATGATCTTTTGGAATTGAATCGCAAATATCGAAAGATACAGAAAATTTTCTCGTAATTTTTTTAATTTTTTAAAAAAAATTTACAAGATAATCTTTTGGGTTTTATTAAGTATATGAATATAATAGAACAATTTGAACATTTTTTCTATTTATCTTATAATATTAGTATTAAATAAATAACGTTTTTTATATATAATTTTATTAAAAAATTTTGGTCAAACTTTCGAAATTTTCGTAATTTTGAGACAAATCCGAAAATTCGTCTTTTTTTTTTCGATTCGTACAAATAAAAATTCACCATGCTCTACCATTGCTCTCTTAATTCAATTTAAATCCCACGCTCTCTTAAATTTTAAATTTAAATTATTATTTTAAACACCCGTAATTATTTATGCCAGAATTAATTTTTTTTTTAAGCAATTATGTTTATGATTTTTATAATTTAGTTTGTTTTTTTAAATTCGTTTAAATTCACTGTGATATGGAATAATCAAAAATAAAGTTAATTAAGATTTTTCTAAAGAAATATGAAATAAAAGAATTATGTTTTTTTTTTTACTTCTCATAAGATAATTATTGGGTCCTAATTCTAATAATTTATTAAGAATTTTATTGGTTGAATTATAAGTTATAATCACATGACTTATGCAAGGGTCAAGGTTACACCGTCAAATATCAATTTTTAGTTTATAAATAGATTTTTTTTTTTGCGTGTGAAAACCCCTCTCTGAGAGTTACTAGTACTGATCACGCTGTAGTTTTGCGCCAAAACGCAGGGTCCAAATAACAAAAATAATAAAAATAATTTAAATAATTTTTTTTATTTTCGATTGCGCATTATGGATGTAATTTGACATTTAAACACTACATTAATTATTCATTCAAGCAACCCATATTTGGTAAAGTTATAATTCCCACGAGATGTGAGTTACATATAAAACTGACTAAAACAATATTTTGCATATTTAAACTCTATAAATGAAAATAATAAAATGTTTAAGGATTAAATAAAAAAAATTGTTATATAACAAAAAAATTTATTCATATGAAAAATATGTGAATTCTATTATAAATTTATCATAAATTTTTTATAAATCTTATTATAAATAAATCTTATTCTTATTATAAATAAATCTTATTATAAATAAATCTTATTGATTTTTTCTTTTAATATGCAATTTTAGGTTGGCAAATGATTTCTTTTGTGTTATACATCTTTATTTATTTATTTATTTATTTTTTAATAATTTTTATTGGATACCTTAATAAATTTTCTGGATGTTCCAAAAAAAAAAAATTTCCAAAAAAAAAAAAAAAAAAGGTTCTCACATTACCATTTGGTAAGGACAATATGGCGCAAACCAGCTGATCCCAAACCCCTAATATGAGTTCACCCATTGCTGTGCCGTTACCCCTTTAAGATATAAAATTGAAGATTATCAAGATAATTATTTTATCTTGAAGTTTTTATTAAAATTACCAGGCAAAACAATACAAAACAAAAGTAAACAATAACAAACAAAAGTAGTAAAGCCCCAAACTTTTAATTATCCCTATTTGGTTTACTGATCATATGATCATATGATAAATAAAAAAATAACTTCAGTCACGTTAAACTAAGGGAACATATAGTTAAAAAAAAAAAAATCGAAAAATAATTATTACTTTTTATATATAAAACCAAAATAGGTCTTTTCTTGAATACATATCTGGTATTTATTAATATATAATAATATTTAATTATATAAAAAAAAATAAGTTATAACCAAGTTTGGACGTGCAAAATAAAATTACCAAACTTGAATGTTTACAAAAGTTAAATAATTTTTTTTTTTTTTTTTTAATATAAATTCAATAAAGTGTCATTATATTATTATCATCATATCATTATCATAATATTATCAGCTATATATAATTACGAATATTCTCTCGGAAAAAAAAATTATAGAAATATTTTCCATTATTCATAATATTCATAAAGCATTATTATTTTCTTTTTTTTCTTCTCTTTGATATAAATGGCCATTGACTCGGATTATGAGGTTTTAATTTGTGTTACATACAGTATTATATAATTCTTCTTTTTAATTATATATATATTTGATCTATATATATCTTTTTAGATTGAGAGAATAATAGGAGAAAAAGAAGATAATGTAAAATAATTTCCATTTTTAATGATAAATATTAAAATTTCAATATAAACATAATAATAATTTAATATATAATATAATAATAACATAATAACATAATAATATATATTTATTTATTTATCATTTAATCAATTCAAACATCACTCAAATTAAATTCTCTTTTTCTCTCTCTTTAAATAATCATAGGGAATTCCTTACTATCTTTTAAAATGGAAAGGTTATGATAATAGTTACAACATATGGTAAAATTATTTAATTAATTATAATATAATTTAATTTAATAGTTAATTATAGATTTAATTTAATTTAATTTAATTTAATTTATATTATTTTATTTTATATTAGGGAACCTTACTATAATCTCAATTGTCCAGAGTTATTATTAGAATATAAATGTGAACAATGGATTCTTGGAGATGATGATAAAGATGAAGAAGAATACCAGAAATTATTAAATCATGTATGCTCATTACTATCATTACTATGATTACTATGTCAATTTTTTATGTTTTATATTTTATATTTATATTTTATGTTTTGTATTTTATAAAAATTATCTTTTATCTGTTATTTGATATTCTCTTATAAAATCTTTTATCCCTTTTAAATATTGCAATATTGTTATTAGAAATTACTTAAAAATGCATATAAAGGACATCCAAAATCTAGAAATGTTATAGAATTTGAAAATTTCCTTAAACAATTTGTTAGAGATGGACCTCCAATTCCTGTTATTAATACAATTGATCAAGCAGGAATTCCTCCTGACTTTCAATATGTGGATTATTATGTTTATGGAAAAAATGTTCCCCGTCCACCAGTTTATGATGAAACTTTAATAGGATGTGATTGTAAAGATGGGTTATGCAAAGGATTTAGATGTCAATGCTTAAAGACATATAATAGTGGTTGCTTATTTTATAAAAGATATTCCAGTGCTTTAAATTTGGAACCAGGACAATCTGCAATTTTCGAATGTAATTATAAATGTTCATGTAATTCAACTTGTCAAAATAGGGTCACTCAAAGAGGAAGAAAAGTTAAATTGGCCATAAAGAGATTTCCTGAAAAAGGTTGGGGAGTAATTGCTTTAGAAAGAATTGAGAAAGGTGCTTTTATTACTTATTATTACGGAGAATTAATCACTTCAATAGAAGCTGAAATAAGAGGTAAAAAATATGATGAAATGGGAAATACTTATTTATTTGATATTGATTTCTTTGATGATTCATCTGCGGACGATTCAGCTGATCATTATTATACCGTGGATGCTTGTAGATTTGGAAATATCTCTCATTTTTTAAATCATTCATGTGATCCCAATTTAGTTGTAATTCCTGTAATGACTAATACTTCAAATTTGAATCAACATCATATTGCATTTTTTGCAAAGAGATCAATTGAGATTAATGAAGAATTGGCATTTAATTATATCGGAACAGCAAATGAATTTGAAGAGATGGGAAGTTGTTTGTTTATGCAAGAAAAAGCAAAATATGCGTGTAAATGTAATGCTGTTAATTGTAGAAAATATTTTCATTAACTAACATATTCACATATTCACATATATTCAGCATATCAGCATATCAACATATTCACATATTATTTAGGTATTATTTTAATATTAGTTTTGGTTTTAATATTGGTTTTTGGTGTTGTTATTGCTATTTTTGGTGGTAAAACTTACATTGGTGTTTTGTAATAAAGTTAGTGTTGATAATGTTAACATTGGTAAATTTAGTGTTGGTAATTGCTAGCGTTAGTGAATAATAAGATACTTTTAATGCAGATAACTAGATATAATAATTATAATAATAATAACAATTATAAAAATAAGTAATAATAATTAATAAAATCTTTCTTTTACTTTACTAACTAATATTAAAATAATATTGATAAATTATATTATCACGTTATTATCCATTATTTATTGATCAACGTTCCTCGATTTAGATTTGATAAAAATCTTCATGTCTTGTTGATCGTTCCAAAGTTTCTCCTACATAACTGAATACATACTGAATACATACTGTACTGAATATATTAATATCGAACATATTTGAACACATTTGAACATATTTAAACATATTTGAACATATTTAACATATTTGAACATATTTAAATATATTTGAACATATTTGAACATATTGAACATATTGAAAATATTGTTCATATTTTTGTAGTAATGAACCAAAATCTTGAAAAAAGAAAAATTTTATACAAATCTAAAGGATTTCATAAACCTGAAGATTTATTAAGAAATCGTCAAAATCAACAAATTGAAATTTGTCGTCAAAATCGGGAAAATGCTATATCAGCTAATCGTCTTCATTTTAAGACTTTAGCTTTGACATTGAATAATGAAACAGTAGAAAAAGAAGATAATGAAATTTCTTTTGAATCCCAATTTTCATTTGAAGAATTTGAAGAATTTGAAGAGATGTCTAAAAATTTATTTTCCGATTCTATGAAAAATCAATGGGAAGCTCTTACTAAATTTAGAAATTTTCTTTACATTGAAAATTCATCCATTTTTGAAATGACTAAAGTATTTGATTTGAGAATTGTGCTAAGATTTGTTGAACTTTTAGGATCTGGACATGAATATATTCAATGGGAAGCTAGTTTTATATTAAATTATATTGTAGATAATAATAATGAAAATTATATACAAATTGTGATAAATGCTGGAGCAATTCCTTTATTAACCTCGTTACTAGAAAAGAATAAAAACATTAATTATAATTTGAATAGAAATATTATAGAATATTCAATTAGATCATTAATTAATTTAGCAATTAAAAATAATTTATATAATCATCTTATTTTAAATTCGGGAGCTCTTAATCCTTTATTAACCATTTTGAATAACTTACAAGAAAATGATTCTTTATATTGTATAGTGTCTTGTGCTCTCACAACTTTTTGTTCCGTTCAAATTAAATCAGAAGTTGATTGGTATTTTATTACACCAGCCCTTCCTACTTTAGCACAATTTTTAAATTGTAAAGATGAAATGATTATTGAAAAAGCTTGTTGGACATTTGGATCAATTGCTGAAGGAGGAATTCAACAAATTCAAATAATAATAGAATTAGGAATTTGTTCAACTTTAATAAAATTAATGAATCATCCTTCTTGTTATATTAAACTTGCCGCATTAAGATGTGTCACCAATATGGTAACAGGTGATGATTTTCAAATTCAAATGATTATTAATTGTGGAGTACTTCAAATATTAAAGGAATTACTTTCATCATCAAAAGAAAAAGATTCACGAATTCGAAGAGAAGCATGTTTATTACTTTCAAATATTACCGCAGGTACAGTTGAACAAGTTGAAATAGTTTATCAAATTGGATTATTTCCTATTTTAATTGAACTTATGATGGTAGCTGATTATTATATACGAAGAGAAGCTTGTTGTTCAGTATCAAATGCTATTATTCAAGGACGAAATAATTTTGAATTAATTTTAAATATAGTTCGATTAGAATGTATTTCTCCTTTAGGAGAAATCTTATTAAATGATAATGATAATGATCTCATATATATGATATTAACCGCAATTCAAATAATACTTCATCTTAATATAACTTCGGAAGATGGAACAAAATTAGAATCGTATTTGGAAAGAATTGGTGTTTTTTCAAAAATATATGATTTTCAATATCACAAAAATGAAGAGATCAATAAAATTGCTACTTATATTATTGATAATTATTTCGAAGAAAGGGAAGAAGAAGAAATTGCCAAATTAATATCTGATATTATATTATATTAGATTAGATTAGATTATTAAATATATTAGACTAGATTAAATATATATAAGAAAATTTTATTAGAAAATTTTTATTGAAAAAAAAAAAAAATATGAAAAAAAATAAAAAAAAAAATATGAAAAAAAAAAATTAAGAAAAAATATAAACAGACTTACAGAAATATTAATAACAACATTCATTATCTTTACCAAGATCAGAAATAAATTGAGAAAAACGAGAAACAATTGAATCCAAACAATTTTTTATCCCACAACTAATTGTAATAGAAGGATAATAAACACTCTTACAAGCGTATTCCCATAACCATTCTAAACCTAAATATACATATAAAACAAATCCATATAAATAAATTCCTATTACAAATAAAATCAAAGGAACTAACATTATTACTCTTAAACAGAATAACATTACTACTGAAAAAATAATATTTAAAGGATTTCCTTCAATTTCATCCTCAAGTGTTTTCCAATCTTTATTATTTATATCAATTCCTGACCAATTTAAAGACCAATTTAAATACCAATTTGATGTCCAATTTGATGTTAATTGTTTTAATTGTGTAAATGCTTTATCAAATGGTGGTTCAATAAAGAAACAAATGAGTGTAATAGGAATAGCAAAGAATCCAAAAAAAAATCCTACCACAATACCAACTCTTAATTTATGATAAAAGAAATCAATAAATTCTTTAATTCTATTAGGTATAACAGTTGAATAAATATGTGAAAACTTTTTATCAAGATTAATTGTATCTTGAATTGGACGTAAAATTGGTGAATCTAAAAATTCTTCTTTGATTTCTTTAATTGAATTATTCCCGAGAATAAATTGATATAAAAGAAATATTATTGACATTAAAACGGATTCATCATAATAAGGATATTCTGGTCGTTTGACTTGAATTACAATTGGTAATATAAGAGTGATAAATAAACTATGAGCAAGGCAAGCTTGTAAACTTATGGGTAATATTATTCCGACATACAAAAGAATGAGTAAAGGTAAAAACATTAAAGTAACAAATTTAAAAGGTCTTGAATAAGTGTTATTTGATAATATATCGGAATAAATATTATGCATCGAAGGAAAGAACCAAGTTATATAATTGTAAATATTGGAAATTAAACATGACAAAAATATTGGAATGAAATATATATTAAATTCAAAGATAATAAGGAATGCTCTAAATAATATAGACATCATTATAAGGATTATAATTATTCAATATTATTTATTTATTATTGTTCAGTGAATTATGGATTGTTAGATGAATTGGTTAATCTTTAAGAGATTGTAAAAACAAACTTTAATAAATAAATTAAAATAAAATAAAATAATTAATTAAAAAAGAAATTCAAAAAAAGATTTTCAAGCGCTAAGGCTAAATTTCAGTTTCTAGAAATGTAAATTTGCGTGACATATGTTTATTAACATGTGATAACTAAGGATTATAGATTAAAAAGGGTAAAGGAATCAAAATAATCAGGTAAGGATCAGGTGATGATAACCCCAATTTTGTATATTTGTATATTTATACTTGAAATCATTTTCATTGTTTTCCCAAAAAAAATTCACGAGAATAAATTCTATAAAAAGATTGGTTTTCTTACGATAACAAGATATTATCATTTCGTAATATTTTTTCATTTGATCAAAGTTCTTGCAAATTTGAAATTGTTTGATTGTGTTGAATAAAAATATGTAAGTTAATATAAATATAATACCGATAAATAGTTAGTTGATAAATAAATATGATACATTTACTTATATACTGGTATATATATATACTGGTGTATTATATATATATATATATATATGCTATATATTAAAACATTACAATCATCTTTTTAAATTTCATCCAAAATTCTCTTATCCAATAAAAGAAGATAATGGAATAGTACGCACTTTCCATCGTTCAAATTCTATCATTTCCCCATTATTTTCTTTTACTCCTTGAACCCAAATTGATAATACTGTATCTTTTGAAATTTTCGATACTGGAACTTCTATTCCAGAAATTATAAATTTATTCACATCTGCTATGCCTAAAAATTCTAATTCTTCGGGTCTAGTTATTTTCTTTGCAACTGATTTTATTCCTGAATATACATAAAAATATCTAAATGAGTTAACAATGTCTACTAAATCTGAAGAAGAAGAAGATGATGAATCTTGAAGATCGATTTTGGTATGTAGTAAATTGCTGTCATTATAATCTACCACTTGAACTCCCATTTCCCATTCGATTATTCCTGATATTCGTAATATTTCTTGATTTTCTATATGTTCAATACATAATGTACTTTCATCCCAATATAAATTTTGGATTTCAGGTTCTATCATTCGTAATAATGAAGGATTTTCTGAACTTATAGATAATTGACCAATGTATACAAGGTCATTAGTAGAAGTTGAATGTGAATTTCCTTCTAAATTTCCTAAATTTGGTGGCTGAGTTATTGACACTCCGAATTCTTGTATCGAAGGCGATGGTGATGATGACGAAGGAAAAGTAAATGTGTTGGGCAGTATTACAACTTCTATGGTTATCCAATTTTCATGTTCAGATACAATTGTTGTTTCGAATTTTTGGTATTTTAAACGTTTTCCTTTTTCTGAATAATTGAAAAGATCATCATCATCATTTTCATCATTATTAAGAACAATGAATGATGATTTTTGATCTTCGATTTCTTTCCTCGTAACTCGCGAAGATGAATTAGTGACGGTTGCAAAGTCAATATTAAATTTTTCACTTTGCTTTGTTTCTTCAATACCAACCTTGATATATAATCCAACTATTAAATCACGTTTTTTAGGTAAATATGTTACTCTTGCTCTCATGTATCCATTAGGTAAAATTGTAATATTTAAATCAAATAATGGAATAATAGAAATTATTGGTTGATCGGAACTTTTTGATTTTGATTTTACTAATACAGAAGTACCACCAATATATGCTTGATCAAAAGTGAATTCCCAAGAGACTTCATTATTTGTGATATAATTTATAGAAAAGTCGATATCGGATAAGACTTTAATTGCACGTTTTGTGTGATAAGGTTGAATTGATTGATGACTAAGGTGCGACCATTCTTGCTCTAAAACATTCTAATGAATTAATAAATAAAAAGTTGAAGTGAAATATTTTTAAAAAAATCATGATAAAAATTACGATAATTATATGATAACTAATATTATTTGATAATTACTCTTCCTTTAATAAAGAATTTGTTTCCACAACCTCGATCAAAATTTGTGTAAAATTGATTGATTCCAGGTGCGTATCTTGGTGTAATATAATGAGCTATAGCTAAACCTTTATCTATAATATTTTAGGAACATTTTTATATGTTAAACACGATAAATTTTTGGTAATAATTAAATTTCAGAAAATGGTGTTCTCAAAAGAATTTCGGACCTTCGTCGTCACTTTTCTTATTTTTATTTTTATTCACGATTATTATCTCACTTTCCATATCGCTTTTCACATCAATTTCAATATCACTTTCATTTTCTAATTGATTAAACTCTTTATCTGCATTTCCGATCCAAAATTTTCGATCAATCTCCCAAAAACTTTCTTTGCCAAAATGTTCATATGTCCAAGCCGGAGCAAATAACGCACATGATGTTTTAGCTTTTTGAATAACTTCCAATGCCTAATTTTTATAAAAGAGTTAAAATAATAATAATAATAATAATAATAATAATTAAAATTAATAAATTGAATTTTTTTAGACTAATGATTATAAAAACTTTAACCTTATAAGTCGTAAACCTAAAATACAAAGATTATAATTTAAAAGATTGATACACAAAAATTTCGAAAAATATAGTTTTTTAATATTTTCAAAAAAAAAAATACATTACCCTCCACCGCCGTAAGTATTTCTCCCCCAAACATCAATTCCGGTATATACATTACGTCGCCTATTACCCGCTTTCTGTGATGATAAATATGGATATTCTTCCTTCCAAGTATAATTTACGAAAATACCATCAGTTGCATCAAAATACGGATAATTAAGATCGTTTAACTGATCTTGCCATGAGAGAGTACCTTCCTTGGTAATTGAATCGTACCTTTAGCAAGGAATACAAAAAAAAACGATAAAAGAATATTAATCGAAACTAGTAAATATCAACTCATAAACTTATAAAGTATTATATAAGGAAAACAAACCAAAGAACCAAAGATCCCGGTTTTTTTTTATGCATTTGTTGCGTGAAGTAATTCATAAATGTTATAACTTGTTGAGCATGTAAAGATCCACCTAATAATGGCGACTCAATATTAATGAACCATCCATCAAAATTATAGTAAATAGCCATTTGTACTATTTTTTTTTTCAAAGGTAAAAAAAATAAATAGAAAAATAGAAAATTTAATTTTTTATATATACTATATACATATATACACACGTGATATAAAAATTCGAAAATTAAAATTAAAACAAACCCATCTTATCAGCAAATACAGTACTAACCACCTTCCTATTCACATTCTCTAAATCATCTAATGGGGCTTCAGTGTGTGGTCCTCGAACCCATAATTCATTTTCTAACAAATCTCTTGCCCATTCTGTAATAAAAGTTCCCAACACTTTTACTCCATTCCGATGCGCAACATTTGTCCATTGGGGAGGTGGAACAGCTATCCTGTGATGTGAAAAGCTAATTTTGAATTTTATGTAATTTTTTTTTTTAAAAAAAAACAAAATTCTAAATAAAAATTAAATTTTAGGATGAAGAATAATTTTTTTTTATAATGATATTTACTAAATAAAAATATCTATATATTGCCAATACTGAACACTATATCCAATCTTGAAATAATCTTCAGTATATCCTTTTATTTAAAGTACATTTTGTTAATGTTTTTTTATATATTAATTCAATTTTATCAAATGTTATAACATTCTAATAATCCACTTACCACCTGCCATATCATGACACACCAATACTTGACATTCTCTTTTATCCTTTTCATTCGCTTTAGTTGAATTCTTAAACGCGGGCCTTTCACGTAAATTTACTTTGGCCACATTAAAATCATCATTACCTGGTAGCCAATTTGCAACCGCAGATAAGTTTGTCCAGTATGGGTGCTTTGGTTTGGTGGAAAATTTTGGAGACGGATTTTTATGATAATAGAGTTTCTTCATTTTAAAGAAGATTATCATTCCCAAGTTGCATCCATTATTATTATATATATAATTCGTGTAACAATAGAAAAGTTATTAATAAATCATCTTTTCTCTCTTAATATATTCAAATTATTTTTCAAAATCAAAATCCCCAAATTCCAAATTAAAGGTAAGGTAAAATTTTTTTTGGTAGTAATTGTAAACTGATATTTATTAATGAATAACATACCTTTTGATTGTCTGGCACAGAATGGTACTGTAATAGGCATCAGAACTGGTGAATAGATCAAATATTGAACCAATTATAGAAATAAATGATTTGAACAATTATGCTTACTTCCAAATCAAATAAATTAGAATTTTATATAAAATTTAATATATGGATTACAACTATATTTGTTCTCAAAATTGATTTTGGATATTTTGACTTTTTGAGAATCTATTTTATTATACACGTTTCAAAATTGATTTCTGATTTTTGAGATATTTTGCCTTTTCGAGATTTTTGAAATATCTATTTTATATCTGGAAATAAAAAAGATACCTAGTTTAATGTATTTTCAATCAAAAAATTATTTAAGTGGTCAAAAAATTTTTGAATTTTAAGTAAACTAATTTTGTCTTCTATAAAAACATGTTTTGACTTTTGGATCTGAAATATTTTGACTTACTATGATAGGCTATTTTGTATGCAATTATATATTTATATATGGAAGTAAAAAAAGTATCTAATTAAATATATTTTTAATCAAAGAATTTATTTGGATAATTAAAACTTTCAGATTTTAAGTAAATTAATTTTGAGTACAAGTATAGTTATAATTATACTTAACATGAAATTAAATTTGAATGACAAAATAAAATAGAAGATAAAATAGTATCACTTTAAATCTAAAATTTTTTGATACCTAGATAAATTCTTTGATTAAAAATACATAAGACTAGATTCTTTTTTACCTCCATATATACACAGGTCAAACACAAAAGAATAGATAACACAATAAAAATTCTGATTTTAACTGATTTATAAAATAGGATGTTTTGATTTTAGTTGATCTATAATATAGAAATTCTGATTTTAGCTAATCTATAATACAGGAATTATCATTTAGTATAATAATTTTTTTGTACTTGACTAGTGTATAAATAAATATCTCAAAAATCTCAAAAAGTCAAAACATATTTTATTTTGAAAACATTTATAGTTATAATCTATTATTTATTTAATAATATATAAGTTAATAAATTGATCTATTTAGAACTTTATTCAGATTAAAAGAACTTATAACATAATTACAATACAAAAATGAAAACACATTTATTTCTATATTTAACTTTCTCCTAATTTATCAAATTTTGTATTAATTTATTTTATTAAACATTGACACTAGTTAATAAAAAAATAGAATAATTTTATTATAAATAAGATTCTAATTAATGAAGACATTTTTTGTTTATATAAACAAAAAATGTCTTAGATTAGACTATTATAGTCTCGGGTGTATGTTGTAATTCATTTTTTAGAATACACTCGAAAGTATCGTGATTCATTTTTTAGATTATACTTAAAGGTATTGTGATTTATTTTTTATAATACACTTGAACTGTTATATATCAGGTTAATGGTTTGACCAATCTCTGTTATCAAATTACATATAACACATTATGTATCAATTTGACAATTATAGTTAATTTTAAAACTAAGAAATGTGATATGTTAGATTATAATAATGAGTATGTGTCACTTTTATATTAAGTTCTATTTCCTTTAGAAATCTAAATTTGATAATAATATTTGCATACCATAAACTATATGCATGGTTAATTTTTGTTATCAGACTACATATTAACAGTGATTAATTTTTTTTATCAGGTTACATACTAACTATTATATGCCAGTTTGGTAATCATAAGATGGCATCCGTAATTATGAATTGAGAATTATGGTATTATTATCTGTATTACAATTATTGAGAATTTTAATGATAAAAAATTCGCAATTCCACAATTTGCAATTATTCACAATTCCTTAATTATTTTGTAATTATCTACAATTCCTTAATTATTTTACAATTTCTTAATCATTTCACAATTCTTCAATTATTCTTCAATTTCTCAATTATTCAGCAATTCCACAATTATTCCTCAATTCTTCAATTATTCTACAATTTCTCAATTATTTTACAATTTCACAATTATTTCACAATTATTCTGCAATTTTGCAATTCCACAATTATATCACAAGTCTGTAATTATTTTGCAAGTTTATAATTATTTCGCAAGTCTGGAGAAGGGTACCACACAAAAATAGAAAGAGAAAGGGAAAAAAAAGAGAAAGAAAAAAAAGAGAAAAAGAGAAAAAGAGAAAAAGGAAAGAGAGAGAGAGAGAAAGGGAAGAAAAAAAGAGAAAGAGAAGAGAGGGTGAGAAGAAAAGACCTTTAATCATATATTTGTAAAGTCAATTTTAACAATTTTAACTTTCACAGGTGTTCCTATGAACCAGCAAAAGATGAAGAAGAAAGGTAAGTATAAAAGTTTTATTTTATTTTTTTTTTTTTAAAAAAAAAAAAAGAATCTTTAATTGTATATCCTAAAGTTAATTCCAATGATTTTGACTTTCACAGGTATTTCTACAAACCAGTGAAAGGTGAGGAAAAAAAAAGTAAAGGAAAAAACAAGATAAGTATAAGATTTTTTTTTTAATAAAAAAAGAAAAAAGAAAAAAAGAATCACCTTTAATTATATGTCCATTATTACTAGTCAAACTTTTGGGCTAATTTTATTTTCCAAAAGGTAATTTACAACTAGTAACTCGTAAATAGTTACTTTAGTTTACGAATTGAAGAGGACAGTAGAAGAAGAATAAAAGAAATATTGAAGTTAAAATACTAAAAACTAATTAAAAGACTTAAGAATTTAGGGTCACAGGATTTTAAACTATTGACTAATGATTTAATTTTAAAGGTCAAGTTAAGAAATTAAGACAAAGAATTAAATATATTTA